CTAGATGCCGCTTCAGAGGCGAAATCTGCATCCTTTGCTTTGCAAGCACCCCTAGTTCGATCGGCGTCCGTCGCAGTTGTGTTTGCGCGAAACGGCATACGTTTGCTCGAAGCTTATGGCTGTCTGCGAGTAATATCCTGCTAAAAGGCGCGACATTTTTTGCACGTGCTTGGGAACTGCATTAAAAGAACCGTATTTCAGTAGGGTACTGCCTAGGAGACTATATAATTTGAAACAAAATACAAGATATCCATCGACCAACGCTTGTTATCCCGACCATCCGACAAACCTTTGCGTTTTGTGACGTCACGCAGCACCTACGGATGTCAGCCATTGACACTGGCGAAATTCAGGGTGCAGTTTCGTACATAGGATCATGAAAGGTTTAATTATTAACGGGAGATCATATATCAAAATAAAAATGACGTTTGTCTACATGAAGGCTCCCTCGACGTAACGAGCGCAAGAACTTAAGTACTTCCGGTTTCGACCGGACAATCCCTTTAAAGTGACCAAACGTGTCTGCATAACGGCGGCGATTTTGCTGCCAACGGATTTCGTCTGCGTGTCGTCTTTTAGCGAGTTCGTTTCACGGCACTCGTGCCCACGCGTGCCCACTCGCAGCGTGGAACGGGTTCGTTTCGGCCGGCGCTCCACGAGTGGTTGCACTCTCCGAGTTCGTTTCAGCGCTGACACCCCACGCGTGCATGCACTCGCTGCACCGAGAAAATCGGGAGTGCGCCAAAATGCAATCCCGTCATGCCTCGCTCCGGAAAAAAAAGTAGATTTTCTGATAGAAATCGCGTCCCGCGGGCAACGAAATCAAACGCGAGCTTGAATTGTGAGCGTCTGCTATTTCACGAAGAAAGCAATTGACAACCCTTGATTTATTTGCAGGTTTTAAATCGCCCTGTTGCCGTACAAACGCTGAAATATACCAGTGTGTAAAGAAATGCTCAGAACAAACGCAACAGCGGCCTCCGAGATGTCTATCACCATCCGTGTGCGGGTGAAAAATTTAACATTTTTCGATAAAACTCACCCAGCAGAAACCTCTGACTGCCCAATAAGCAGCAGAGAAAGCTAAAGATGGTGACTTTACCCGAGGATTGGGCAACATCATCATGTTTAACATTTACCTACGCAGCTAACTTGCCCCGTCGTATTTTGTTCGAGAAAGCTTTCGTTCTCGACGCCTTCACCAAGGCTAATATCTAATCCACAATGACGATCCAAATCGAAAGTCCCAGTTTTGCTGGATATTCCAACAGGCTAGCTTTAAGCCGTACCCTTTCAGTGGTTCACGCATAATACCATGCTCAAACGGATCGAGCTTCTGCTCGGACAGCATCATCAGTTTTCTTCAGTGTAAACGGTTATAAGGATTGAAAGATCGCAACCAGCTGCTTTGTGGACAGCTGGTTGCGGAAATTTACGCCGTCTGTAACTATCTCTACGGAAGCCGAGCTGCTTGAAAACATCGCAACTATAGACTACAGGTTGCAGTTGCCAACGCTTGTAGATAAACGTTGGTAGCGACTGCATTTTCGCATTCCCACGCATCGCTCGGAACAGAAAGGCGCTAGTTTCGGTTTGAAGTCGGTACCTTTTCTTCCACATAGATGGCGGCAGCATCAGCCTTCTGCACTCGGTGCATTTGGCGAGTTCGTTTGAGTCCAGTTTTCCGTGCAACACTCTGTGAGTGCGATGCATTCTGGGAGAGAACTCGAACGGTGCCAGTGCGTGTGAAACGAACTCGCTATTTCTTTCGCTGGTCGGCTGCACTTTCTGACGCTGCTCCCGACGCCATCTATCAATACGAATGCCAAACACACCCCGCTACTGGACTTGGTCGTCTGCGTCACCGCCCGCCATTGTTCCAGGCAAGTTTCTTGGCCTTGTTTTTTACAGAAGGAGAGCTGCGCTTTGTAATTTTACAAGAAAAAACCGACCTGTGAAATACACCTTTGACGAAGAGTTTAGATTGTTACGTGCAGGCGTCGATTTTTACGGTCCATTTTAGATCGAGCCTGGTGACTTGAACCACCCTATAGTGCGATGACGTCACCTGCAAACCATGTTAAACAGTTAAGCTTTCTGGTGAAACACGATGTTCGCAACACTAGTAATAGATGTTCCAATCGTAAAGTTATAACACGTTTGCAAAACCGGCTTCAGGGCGCTGCCATCTTGCTCGGCTGGGGAGCGCTTGGACGCGTCCTAATTAATCCAATTATGAAGCCTTACTAAGGCGTCATAATCGGATTACGGCCGCGCCCAAGCGCACCCCACTGGGCAAGATGGCGGCGCCCTGAGCCCGGACTTGCAAACGTGTTATACAGATAAAGCAAAGTTGTAAAGTGAGGCCCAACACAAGTGCACGTAAAAACCGATTATATAACATTAACCTCCCGAGGCAGTTTTTCGCGAAGTTTGGAGGTCATGGCACAACTATGATTTCATTTTTTAATACTGCGACGCGAAGTTGTACCAATCACAGGTAGTTTAGAAGGCGTACTCCAAATCCCAACAACCTTTTGATTCGGGTAAAATATAAGTGACTCTGGTAAAGAAAGGGATGTTGAGTCGTATAAAGAGAATGTTTTCGTGTTAGTCTAGATTTTTTTTTTTTTTTTTTACTGCGGTGTCAAAATTAAATAACAAAATTTCATATTTTTAGTACCTGAAAATAAAATAAGTGTATGAACGATAGAAAAAAAAAACTCTAGTAAACTCTCAATTGAGTAACCTTCAAGCGACCTAAGGAAAAAGTTCACTTAAATGAAAGTTCACTAAGCTGAATAGTATATTGACTAGAATATGGAACAGCATAGGCCACAGCATACATGGAGTCAAAAGTGTGAAATGAAATTTATGGAGTCATGTACATTGATATACACAAAGTGCATAACAGTTACGTTGCTGCCTTTCTCATATTGAAAAAAAAAAAAATCTTTGAAGTTAATTTGCACTAGCACTCTTAAAGAACATGAACTAACAAAGCTGTCCTGAGAGTCTATGTTTTTTTTTTCACTTCCTCTGGCAGCTTGTGCTGTGACGAAGCCATACCGCAACGGCATCGTCCACTGGCTTGCTACATCCCCTGCAGAGTCGTTTCCTTTTGGGATTGAATGCAGTTTCTCCTTCAAGCTTCGACTTCTGCTTCACTACTGTTGACAGTGTCTACGGTTTAATACCAGTACTTCGCAACGTCCACTTGCCTTTGATCGTTGTCTAGACGCTGAAGGAGATTGAGCTTGTCTGATAGAGACAACCGCTTCCGTTTCAGCGCACTCATTACTAAACTGGGCGCACAAACTTCCCTCCTGCTGCTGATACCCAAAACTAAATGGCCGAACGGAATTGAAGACAAAGAAAAGACAGACACACCACGTGGTTTGTTTTCGTCTACTGCACCGCCGTAAACGCCAGCGATGATACGCCGCTGCTACAGAGGCAGGCATCGGCTACGCCAGCACTGCAGAGCACGAAACTTTGTTGACCTGATTGCAAAAATAATCCTGGGTCCACCGATCAACTTCGTTGAACTGAAATATTCGCTATTTCGAAATTCATTAATTTGTTTCACTGACACATCTTTGCATAAAATGCATAGGAAAACCGCCGGAAAATTTTTAAAAGTTATTCTGAAATATTCATTGAACCGACATTCGCTCATGTGAGAGTTTACTATATACAGATAATCATTTCATGCCGGAAATCGTGCCCATTGCCAGAGCAACGCGGAAAATATATTCTCAATTTTATTTTGTCTCTACAAAGCTGAACCAGAACCGAACCGAAAGCCGTGAACCCGAACCCGAACCGAACCGGCAAAAAATTTGGTTTGAAACTCTGGTTAATATTCGCCCAGTGCTCACGAAAAGAAAACATAACACTGAAGGGAGAAAAAAACGGTCCACTGTAAAACTGAAATTTTTCTTCCTATTGTTAGTGACATCAGGCTAAACTCCTCCCACCCCATCCCACTCCAGAAGAGTAATGCTGGAGAGAAAGCGACCTCCTCTTCAGCGTTTGCTCTGCCGAAGTGGAAAGTGGTGGGAAAAGCTTTTCCGGACCTTTCCATTAACCTGTTACAGACTATAGATAAAAACCAAAAAGCAAACCTACCATTTCTTCCTCCCTTTCATGTGTATATTCATCATCATCATTTCACCTGTTAACACACACAGCCAAGGAGGCAGCCAGAACTTGGCTGTACGGGCTTCTGCCTTTTGGCTGCCTCAGGCACTCGGCTGTGTGGAAGTTGTGCCATTAAACACCTTGAACCTTGAACCTTGAACCTCACTTAATGAAAGCAGAATGCAAATGGCAAACTTTAGAAATAATTGATAGCAAGTTAACTATGCAGAGCAAACAAATGAAACTTCGTGGAGATACTCATCATATGTTGATAAATTTTAAAACATTTCAGTAAATACTTACCTTGTAAAAAAAAAAAAATCTAGGCCATGTTTTTTTTTGTATTAAACGTTTTGAATATTAGACAGCTAGTGATATCAAAAACACTGGCAAGGTGGCGCAAGCTGCCACCCGATTACCAGCGTTCAGGCACACCCATCCATCCATTCATCTGGAAGCAGCTCGATCTTGGTCACAACTCAATAGAGCCAATCAATTTAATTTCATTACTTGAGGTTATCTGCTTTTTTAAAGGTACTTATTTACTTTTGCATCGGAAATTCCGAAAAATGTTGGACTCAAACTTTCATCTGCTCAAGAGAGACCCTCTTTAAATGATCTTTGCACCTACGACCCAACTTATCTTTCCAATTACATTCGAAGGAAATGGCACTGGCGGTCGGACAGGGCATACTCAGACGCTAGATTCTTTGAAAAATAGGTTTCCGCATATGTTCAGTGGCCACAACTTCTATGAGGGAACATGCTTGTTTACAAACAATGAGTTGGTGTATTGTGTGATTTACATGTGTGTCAGGAGGACCGGCAGAGCGAACGCATTACAGTCAACAAATACATTTATAATGCACAAAATATTTATTTGATTCACCCAAAAAGGAGCTCGTAACAAAGGGTGAGATGTAATACCAATACTGCAAAGATAAAACAAAAGAGCCTCTTCATTGCACTAATGGTTCAGTAGCCGCCTCCTAACGCTTCGTAAAAGAAACCTTGAAAGCACAAAAAAGGTACACTAGTTGAGTTGGTTGTAAAACATAAATAAAGGCTCCCCGATAAACAGACAGCAAACACCTGGCAATCTCCGAAGAGAGGGAATCGTGACAAAAAAACAAGCTTAATACTTCCCAGTCAATTTCCCCAACTGCCACCAAAACAGCAACATGCACGGGGGAGGGAGCTATCTCAACGCCCAACTGTTTTACAGGCTCGATTGCATTGCTTCAAATAACTCGCCCACGACACATCTCGAGGCCACTGGCTCTACCAGACGACGTACAAAAATACTCCCGCCCCTCGCTAAACAAACCCCCTCCCGATGTAAGCAGGAGGGATCCAGAAATACACCTTAAAAATGATCTCGACTGCCTCCCTGTTAAACACAAGTTTCTCGCATGAATACGAGCAACCTAATCTGGAGCTCAGGTCTGGTCCAACCTTGATCAAGCGCAGAGAAGCTTGTCGCCAAAAGTCCGAACTCCCCACAAGACGTTGTTCCCTGCCAGCACCCAACTTTCACCACTGTGCCTGCATCTCGGTTGCAGTGCCACAAACGCACAGGACAAGCAATGCCATTGGCACTAGAAAGCTTATGTCCCAAACAAAGTACAAAAAACTGTGTTTGGGTCCCGAACTGGAAGATAAAATCATCAGCATCTGCAAACACTCTCTTTCATCTTTCCCTCTTCAGGTGTCCCAGTCAGTCACAAACTGATTTATAACGGCAGCAAGCACCTTTCAATCACACAGCACGCATCGGAAGCTCTCTTCCATCAGAGGTGCTTTGTTTTTATTATGCTTTGGTTTTCTGTCCCCAGACGAAGAACCATAGAAGACTGAAAGCCTGCACTAAAGCCGACGCTGCCTAAGAAGGGATGTACCGTTCCAACTGACTTGTCACTGACAATCAGTGGTAAGTACAAAGTTAGTTCGAGTCGGCGCTGCATCCATACTGTTCCTAGAGCTGACTTGGCACCGCAACGTACGTGTGGCTCGCCAAAATGCAAGATCTTGCTAATCAAACGGCAAAACAGCCACCACACACCAACGATCCTCAGTCATCTACCTTTCATCAACCCTACGCACAGAAAGACTCGGCGGCACAGTAAAGGATACGCAATCGCGGTAGTTTTGCTCCAACCTGACGTCCTTGCGCTACACAAGAAGGTGGCCTCGAGCTAACAGTTAAAGCTTGGCCCTGAGCATGCCCATGAGCTTCTCCAGCTTCATGGCCTTGCCCATGTCGCCCTTGATCTTCATCTTGCCGCTCATGAAGGCTGCCGTGGGTTTCAGGCTGCCCGCAAACATCTTGAGCAGGCTCTCCGTGTCCATGGTGAACGTGACGTCGGGGGCAGCGCCCTCGGGAGGCTCTCCCTTGCCGACACTGCCGGCGCCGTTCTTCAGGTCCACGAAAAAGTTCTCTCCGCCTGAGAGCGCACCCCGCCCCCGTTAGTTTTCGGAGCACTGCCGACGCTGTCTAAAAATTACGAGTTACTACAGTGCCGAGGGTGAAAAAAACGGCGGGACGTCTCTTTCCCGACGCCCGGCCTCCAGCGCGCTCCCATTGCTTTCTGTCATATTTTGGCCGCCGTGAATGCGCGCAGGTCATAAGACAACAAAGCGTCGACTAAGGTGGGAGGCTCGAACTGGACGCGGAACGACGGAGGGACCTCTCTGCCACCCTCATCCTGTCAGTAACAGTATCGAGTGAGCAACAAGGAAGTGGATGTAAACTAACATCAGAGCTTGGAGAGTAATGTTGTCAATATCGCCAGCAATGCAAGTTACGTTGCCACAGTGGTGACTCGCAAGTACTGGTTGCGTAATGTGACGGGCGGCAAAGGCACACATTCGTGGTGCCCCGGAAAGCGTCTGCAAACCGTTTCGCTGTGAATCGACGCAACATTGCAGCAGCTCGCTTAGAGCTACGGGATTCGTGACTTGCTTTCATACTCATTAGATGGTGCATCGGTTGCCACTTGAGCGTTCTATCCTTCGTTGCAAGAATTAGCCTGCCCCCATTCTGCCTAGCTGGAACACGAAGATGCTCCTTCGAGGTTATGCAGCTGATATCAATCAATCAATCAATCTTTATTTTTGGCCTTCTAGCCAACGTTGCCCCATACAAAAAGCTGCCAAAGGCAGCTTGACGGGGTCTAAGGCCCATTTGGAGATTGGCAGCAGAACTAACTTTCCAAAAAAAAAAAAATAAAACGCGCTAAAATAGTTTTATACAAAATACCAAAATCAAAATACCAATATTTATCAAAAATACTAAGGTCGCACACAAGCGCGCAAACCAGAAAAATATACGCACAGCTTCTGTTCATAATATTTACAAAATATAACACTTTCTAAAAGAGAAATACGGTTAGCAAGAGGCAATATATCAACAACAAAAAAGCGTACGCAGCCATTTTTCACATTACACAGAAAAAACCTTTTTAACAAGAATAGATATACCACACAATAAAATTATTTCACATGTATTTAAACACAATGTCTGACAGGACTATAAGAAGTACATCAATAATAATTTCCTTCCCATGTTATATATATCAATATTGTTGGTAAGTAAATGGAGTAATGAAGGTAGACGATAAGTGATTGACTGATAAGTATAATTAGTACGAGCTCGAGGTATGATCCATCTTTCCGAGAGGCGCGTGTTCATGCGATGAGGATGTTCGGAGAGGTTCGCCATTTCACATAAAAACAAAATATGGTCAGAAGTTGAAAAGCGGAAACTGCGAAATCTCTGCACTAGTCTGCAAACGGTTCTGCTTTATTCTTTATTCAGAGAACTCCTGCAGTGCCTAGAAGGCATTATTGCAGAGTAGTAAATCCTCTGTCCTTCTGTACTACGAATTTCATTGATTGTCAGGCCTACTTTTTCTGTCTTCGGCACAAATTCGACACCGACGACTCATTTACTACAAGTGAAAGTAATACTGGCAGTGTTTGTTACAGCATTTCAGAGTTTAACATCCTGACAAAGGGCCTCGGTCTCCGTAGAAACAAAAACTACTCAAATAGTCTAGAGTGGCCAAGATTAAACAGGCCTACTGCTTGACAACCTGCTGACAACAAAGCTTAGAAATTGAGCCAAGAAGTTGGATGAGACACTTCAAGTGTGGAGCAGTTAGCTCCTTGCCCTAATGTTAATTCCTGTAAAAAAAATACCTTATGCCAATTTTACCCACCTAAAATAATATTTTCCAGTGCCTGGTGAACAACTGTCTAGGTGTCTTGCACCGAGTATGTGGCTCAGATGCATTAAGTTCTTTCTCACCTTTGACCTGGAAGAGGAAGAGTCCGCCAGTCTGGCTGACGAGCTCTGTGCTGAGCTTTTTGCCGATCTTGTGCACAATGTCGTCGAGGGCATTCCCGCTGCCGCCACTCGTTGCCTCCGGTGCCGGTGCCGCTGCCGACAATGGAGGGCTGCTTCCCGACCCAGGCTGCTGATCAAACTCCTTCAGGCAGTCATCCGGAATGAAGAAGTCCGGCTCCAGCCTGGCCCCTGCAGAGTCGAGTGACAAGTTCTTTTACTATGGTACTGTATTTACCCAATTGTAGTGCAATCACATTTGTAACATGACAGGCGACTTCTCGTTTTGCCCGATGAAAAACAATAATACCGCAAATGCAACGTTGCTACCTTACCTACCCTACAACAACCCCAAACAGGGTTAGTACTATTGGAAAAAAAAAAAAGGTGAATAAATTTGGCCCGTTGGCCAAGTCGATCTGCTCAGTCGACTCTGCCAATAGGCAGTCCAGCTGCAGCAATAGGACTTTAAGGGGGGACACTGGCTAGACTTCTGAACTACTCAAGTGATCGTAATAAACTTTGCAGGGGAGATTTAACATCGGATGTAGGTGTATTGTGCAAACTTTCAGCCCTCTAGGACAATTTTACATACCTGCATAAGAAGATGTGTCGCTCTTTGTTAAGAAATCAATGATATGAAAATGAAGCTATTAAGCACCATTTTGACTGCTTGAATATAAAGTGGAAGGTGGGGGACTTTGGGCTGTCTAGTTTTTATAACTACAGTTGAACCTCGATGTAACGAAGTCGGTAAAATTCGCAATTTACTTCGTTACATTGAAATTTCGCTAAATCAAAATTTGGCTTTAGCATGCGAAAAAAAAAAATTCCGAAACATTTTACGGGTATGAAAACTCACCGAAAATGACATTTATTTAGGGGCAAAGTAGTCCGCGAGTTTTGCTTGCGCCTTGTCCGACAGTAGCAGCGGCGTCGGCGGCGTCATACGGCGTTCGAGCGCCCAGAGCGCTTGCACGGCATCTTGCTGCCCATGCGACGCCGTGTACCTCCTCAGTACGTCCATTGCGTCGAGCACTTCCCGAGTCCTCGTGATCTCGGCAGTTTCTTCAGGATGGCGTCCAAAACGTTTGCTTTTTCATCCAAAGAAAGAACTTTAAGTTTCCTTATGGCAGCAAGCACGTAAGTGAACCGCCCGGTTAAAAAATAAAGCTGTTTAGTTTAGGCGGTGCCAATGTTTCCAACCTACACAGCACTCTTGACCGCACAGTTTACTTGCCCCCTTGCGCCCACAGTGCCCACAGTGTGCTTGCGCCTTTGCTTTACATCACGCTCGCAAGACGATAATCGGTCTTTTCGGTCTTCTCCTAGATGGCACTGCCCGTGCGGTCGCGCTAGAGTTCCTGGCCTATACAGGAACTCTAGGTCGCGCGGTCGCGCCATCACGTCGCTCCCCCGCTGAAGTTGGCTCGCGCGCTACCCGGGGTACAGTGGACTATGATGATCAGTAAATGTCAGTGGTGATGCTGTTATGCCGTGTAAACTTTTTGCTCAACATTTTCTGGCCAGCCCCGCGGAATCCGCTTTGCCGCATGCCTCGCCGGCGCTACCGGCTCCGCATCCTTGGGCAGCCTAGGAACGTTGGAAGGCCTGTCCCCGTGAAGTAACCTATCAAGCGCACGCGTTTGCGCATAATTTTTTTTTTTTTAACCACAATTTTTTTGCGAAGTTGTTTTTTAGAGTTGATTTATTTATTGCCTTCTATGGCAATGGCGCTTCGTTATATTGAAATAGCAGCAAAATAGACTTCGTTGTATAGGGACTAAAAATACATGGGGTCTATGGGCAAGAAATTATGAAAAATAAAATACTTCGTTAAATCGAGGATTTCGTTACATTGAAGTTCGTTATATCGAGGTTCGACTGTATATATGAGATGCATATCTGTCCGATGTCAATTTTTGAAACATAACTGCAAAAGAATCGCACGGAAAATGGATCTCGCAACGGATTTCGTAGGCTGCGTGCGGAAAAAAAGAAAAAAAACAATTGCACGGTTGGGTGTAGCCACGTGACTTCCACCACTCACTCTCTCCTCTCCACTTCACCGTGCGGTGCGGGGGTTTTGGTTTCGGCCAGTTGCATTCTTTGGCTTTATTAAAAAAAATATGTGACTCTGTAGCAAAATATTAATTAAGTCATAAACTAAACGCCATTCTTGACCGATCATCACTCGCCGACTGCATATTTTTAGACTTTTCGAAAGCATTTGATAAGGTGTGTCATAAGCTTTTACTTCTTAAATTAAGTCAGCTTAATCTCTATCCCAAACTTCTTATATGGCTCGAATACTTCCTCATTAACCGTTCTCAGTTCGTTTCAGCTAACAGCCTCACATCTCCCCCAAGTGGCGTCCACTCCGGCGTGCCCCAAGGCTCTGTGCTTGGCCCTCTCCTTTTTCTTATCTACATTAATGACCTCTCTTCTTGTGTTTCTTCCCATATTCATTTGTTTGCAGATGATTGTGTAATTTTCCGGGAAATTTTATGTGATAACGATATAACCACTCTTCAATCTGACCTTAACGCCATCTCTGTATGGTGCAAAACATGGTGCATGGAACTAAACATTAACAAATGTAAACTTATGCGTGTCTCTAGAAAAAATATTAACTCGCCCGTCTACTCTCTTAATAATGTGCCTTTGGACGCCGTATCTTCTTATAGATACCTTGGTGTCCACATTTCATCTAACCTAACTTGGAGCGTTCACACCTCGTACGTCATTAATAACGCTAACCGCATGCTGGGTTATCTTCGACGTAACTTTGCTAAAGCACCTTCATCCCTAAAACTACTACTCTACAACGTCCTCATTCGCTCTAAACTCGAATATTCCGTTTCGGTTTGGGATCCAAGCCACGAAAACTTGATACACTCACTTGAAATGGTTCAAAATAATTCTGTTCGTTTCATATTGTCTAACTATAATAGAACTGCAAGCATCAGTACAATGAAATCTAACCTTGATCTGCCATCCCTAACATCCCGCCGCAAAATCTCTCGTCTTTGTCTCTTTCACAAACTGTTTCTTCTTCCCTCCTTGCGCGCCGAACATATTTTACCCCCCCAATACATCTCATCTAGATTAGATCATGTTCATAAAGTCGGGATTCCATCGTGTAGAACTAATGCTTTTTTTCAGTCATTCTTTCCTCGCACATCAGTGGAGTGGAATGGCCTTCCCGCCCCGACAGCAACAATCAAAGATCCCCAGCAGTTCAAGAACGCCATAGCTAACATTGTATAAATAAGAGTCAATTTACTGTACTAATAACCACTGCATTTTTTAACTTTATACTTATACATTGTACCCACTCCCCTCTCTAATGCCTTTGGCCCTGAGGGTATCTGAAATAAATAAATAAATAAAAGTAGTATTCCAACACCATATTGAATTTCCCGGCAAAAAATGAAAAAAAACTTTTGGGGAGTGTCAGTGGCCCTTTAAAGCAGAACAGAGAATGGTTTCTGCTTGCAAGCATTAAGCAGATTGGATTGCATTAAAAAAACTTCCTTTGTTTTCCCATCTGCAATACTCTGACTGATTCGACTGCATGATACCCTCAGTTTTTGGGGTGGCGTCAACCTACAGGGCAAAGTGACGTCTCCATGGCAGCACAGAGCTCCCAGCTCTTCTCTGCATCTAGCAGCCCTAACTGGTGCCCCGCTACAGCGAGATCTGATCGTCCCATTGCTTGCGACTTTGAAGTGGCAAACGCTTGATTAAAAGAAAGCCAAGTGGACGGAGTTCTCTTGGCTGCCCTCCTAAGTGGCTACCAGTTTCGTACAGCAGAAACATGCAAGAACCCCCTGCTTCAAGCTTAAAGGCCGACGACCAGACTCGAGATTCTGCAAGGCAGAAGATCCTCCTCATCATGGGGGAGGAGGAAAGAGGCAACGGTGGACAGGGTAAAGGAGGGAAAGGAGGAAGCGAGGGAAAAGTGGAAAGCGCAAACTGATCGTGGGTCTTTAACGGGAGAACAAAGACGCTTGTCTGTTCTGACCTGGGACGTTGGCGTACTGCTCGAAGTCCGTGACGCCCTCCTCCTTCAGCAGCCTCTCGTCAATGCAGAAGTTCCCCGTGAAGGATCGGCTTGGCTTGGTCAGAATGGCATAGGCCGCATCTGCCAGGATGGCCGGTTTGCGGCTCGAGCTGCGGCTGAGCTCCGAACCCATCAGCATGTCCAAGGCTGCCGTGTGAATTGCTGGCAAAGAAGAAAAGGGCAAAATGCTTTCACGTCTGCAAGCGTGGAAGAACTTGGCAGTCGGGTACTTGTCAAGCCTCGAGGCCTGGGGCTAGGTGAATGAAAATAAAAAGGGAATATAGGCGTAGTCCGAAATAAAGCTACCAACTAAATTTTTTGTTGTCAATTAACATGGAGGCTGTAGCATGCATGCTCATTTTCAAATAGGCCTACTTTGGCCAGCCTTCACCCGCTTTCGCAGTTTAAAAGGCGGGAAAAAAAATAGCGAGAAGGTCTGCAAGACTTTTCAAAAGGAACGTTTCAAGGCTTATGCATTAAGTCACAGAATCAACCTGATTAAATTTGTTGCCCCAGAAATCAAGCACTTTAGTTGAAGTACAGTGTATCTAGTTTTAAGCCCATGGACAGGAAAGCTTGCCATGTCTTGCAAGAAACACCCTGTTACTGCAATTAAGCTTGGTTAGACAAGCTCACCTAATGAGTTTGAAACATATGGCACCAAAGAGCCATGTGCAAAGAGCAGTGACCATACTTAGCAACCTTGCTAAAACATTTTGGCAAGATCATGTTCTACCTCGATGACAGCACAGCCTGCACTGTCAGCTCTGCATATAACAATGGCAAGCCCGAAATACATATATGGTCACAAAGATGCCAATGTTTTAAATTCACAAGCCATAAGGACCAATCACAAATTATGGGAAAACACATACAATGGAGAACAAATTCTGAAAGAACAGATACAAGGCGCCAACAAGTCCGTGACAGAATTATTTTAGTAAAAATAGATGCATCTTGTCCCATCCTTTGTATTCTTTGATCCGTAACTATAGCTACTATACTGCGTTCACTCCTAGGCTGACAGTGCAGTGGAAGCTACATTTTTGTTGAACCAGTCGCACGTCTATCTTTTGGCACATGATCACGCTCAGGTTCAGGTGATGAAAGGGTGGTGGTTGATTGCTCTGGCAAGTGCACAGATTCCACCTAACTGTTAGCTTAGGGGTGAACAAAGTCGGGCAAGGCAGAGCAAAATGAGACAATTTTTTAAATGAATCCCGTTTTAATGTGAAAGCATTAAATGTCCCATGGAGAGAACCGGCGTGATCGGCTTTTGAAGCCACACCAAACGGCACCTAAACTCCCCAGTCCCAATGGAGCGAAGCCTGTCGTCCGTAGCAGCGATCTGAAGGATACATAAAGGACGAGCGTGTTATTAACGGTGCTAAATATGAGGAAGGGACAAAGGGACGAACAACAACGACAAAGAACAACTTCCAGATAGCAACAAACATTTATTAACCCGAAGTTTGTATATATAGGGTAGGGGGAGAGAACAGGGGGGAGGGGGGAACGGAAAGGAGGTGACCCAACGTTCTAGGACACGTCACCGTTCTGGATGCCAGGAAGAAGTTCGAGACTGAGGAAGCTTATCTCCTTTGCAGATAAGTCGATGGAGGGGGAACCAAAGTTAACCTTGCATCGCGAAGGCTTCTATTATTTCGCGCCCGTACTGTGAACTGTGATCACTGATTCTTTCGGTCGAAGGGGAGTCGACTGAACAAGGTCCGCACTCCGAAGGGTGCTTCGCGATCAGGTGAAAGGAGTACTCAGTGACGCTGGTGGCAGCCTTCTTGATTTCATTTGCGTGCTCTCGTAAGCGGTCGTTGAGGCAGCGCCCCATTTGTCCAATGTATCTTGCACCGCACGACATGGCAATAAAGTAAACCTACTCTTTACAGCAGGGCACATAGCTGGTTTTGTGGTCCTTCTGACATGAAGGCGCTGGTCCGGGGTTGTTTACTTTCTTGCAAATGGAAGCTAGCCTGAACTTGCTTCAGAACACCACATTGGTGTTGAATCCAAGTGCGATGAGTTTCAGGCGGCGCGACGTGTTCTGGATGTATGGGGTGTAGGCGAGGCGAGACTTTGGAGGGGGCTTGTTGGATCGTGGGCGCAGGATTAGCTTTTTGATGGTCAATTCAATCATGTCATGGGGGTTGCCCACCCTAAGGCTGGCGCACGTCATAGTTTCAAGGAACGAGGCTATCATTGGCTCTCGCGCGGTGTAGCTCCGAGGAACGCCACCAGAGAAGCCCTCTTCACGGCGGCGCAGCGGCCCGGCTGCCGGTAAGAGAAGTGCCTGCCTGGGCAAACTCCGGAGAGGCTGCACAGCCAAGCTCGGTGCAGCAACTTCAAGAGAGCTCAGCCAACGGCCGCAACCTTGGCAGTACCGAAACATGGCCGTCCACGCAAATTTCACGTCTTTTGGGGCTCGTTGCTCCACGAACAATGACTGTGCATTTTTTTCACCAGCATATTTAGACCAGTTATACCAGGCTTTCTATGAACCAAATTATAAAATCAATTACATTGCGAAATTTGCATGCAGATGGCGCTAAACTCAAAATGTCTCATTTTTCCCTGCCTTGCCCCCTAGCACGTGCATTCTGTCATCATACAGAGAGACATTACCTATTTCAGAAGTCGCACGAAGTGGACTGCTAAACAAGATCTGGATCGCTAGTGTGTGCATTATTATGTAGGCAGATTAAAATAGCATTGATCGGCAAGGTCCACCTTCTCCTTAGAGCTGTTAAAAGGACCTCTGAAAGAAGGACAGCTGATGACGTGGGTTTTCAGACAGAGCAAAGGTGGTGCAACTCACTCGACTTGGGCCAGAGGGCGTTGACCGCGATGCCGTCTCCTCTGAGCTCCTCCGCCATCCCCAGCACGCACATGGACATCCCATACTTCGACATGGTGTACGCTGAAAACAATGAGACCCAGTCAGAAAGCGAGATGGCACAAAGCATGCAATTCAACAGAAGCCACTTACAAATTAAAAACGTATGTAGCCTTAACGACACCTCATCACCATCCACATTATAGCGAAGCAAGTGTTTACGATCTTGACTGATGTCGTTCCCGTCGGACATCACGCGATGTGCGACGGGAATCAGGAGATGGGCGATGTTTCTGAATTTTTATGCTACGGATATTTAATCATGTCGTATTACACCTGAGACTGCGGTGGAAGAAATCGGAAGAACTTTCAGTAGAAGGAACAGACACAGAGACGTTCTCTGTGTCTGTTCCTTCTACTGAAAGTTCTTCCGATTTCTTCCACCGCAGTCTCAGGTGTAATACGACATGATTAGCTACCACCAGCTCGCCTGCACTCTCACCGTCTTTTCACGGATATTTAGCCAGAAAAATGGGATGGGCAATCTCTTGGGGGAGGGCGCCCTTACCGGATTTCAAAGTAGTCGCCATTTTAGGACTGAACATAGAAAGGTATGTGCCCGATTGATTTACACGGCAATACTTCACTCAGGGTAAATGGTCCTGAAGATTACCATAAAAAGAGAAAGACAACTTCTCAAGTGACACACAATAAAAATTGCCTTTGCCTTGAGACTGAGGGTTCTTGTTCCATTTGTTCCATTTTACTTACGACACTGTGCATATATTTTTCACCAACTGTTGTCTGTTATCGTATCTGTGTGTGAGAGGCCACGAAATACACCAATCATTCCAGAAGAGAGAAACACTTAAAAGCTAACCACAGGTACTACTCACGAATAAGCTCCAGAAAAAACTGTAACCCAAGTCCAACTCTTCACTTACCGACGTGGTTCTGGAACCAGACGGGCTTCATGATCAGCGGTGGACTCAGCATCAGAATGTGCGGGTTGCTCGACTTCTTCAGGTAAGGGATGCAGATCTTGGAGCTAAGATGGGCAACATGAACGACAGGAGTTGCTATCGTGAAACCTTTTTAGTTTCAATGAAACAATGAAAACTGAAGTAATAGTGCAAAAGACTTTAAAGGTCCCTTTTCAAAAGTCAGCCCGTCTTCTTCAGAGACAGATCCGATGCTCTAATGGAAGCCTTACGCTGCTTCTGCACACCAGGAAAAGCGAACGTCTTCAAAAGCATAAAACAGAAAGCAGGGAGCTGATTCTATCAAGTTGGTTCTTTTACGTTGTGTTCGATTCACTATGTCCAGTGTGCTTGAATATTTGAGATTTTGACACTGCCACTAGACGGCTCCAAGTTTCTGAAAAGGTCTATAGGCTCCTGAGCTTGCTCCCCCGAGGGGAGACGATTATTGGTGCTCTAACAGAAGAGAGAGAGAGAATGAGTTATGGAGGAGGGATAGAGTATGTTGCTGCCTGTAACATTGTAGAGCACTTTTAGGGAAGGCCGAATGTCGCCATTTCTTGGATGCGATTTCGACGAAATGTCAAGGAGTGCTTTTTTAGGTTGCCTGAATGTGTAATATTTTCTAAATAGGCTACCTTATAGTTTCAAGTAGAATGCTTGAGTGTGAAGACACTAAGAATGTAAGGTGGTCTGCACCACTTGGCAATGCTTCAGCATTCATGCTGAAACAATAGAAATAAATTGCATGACAAGAAGTTTCCGTGAATTCACCCGTAGCAAAGTGCTTTTCGGACAGGCATTTGTGATCCGACAGTGCTAGTTTTTCCTTTTTATTTCAAATATTGCCGCGAGCGCAGCTGACCAAGAAGGCAGTGTACTCATGGCCTAATGGTTATCGCGCGTGGGTTCCACGCAGAAAGCCAGGGTTCGATTCCTGGCGGCAGAGACGCATTTTTGTTGACTTTAACGTAATGTTCTGGTAAATTCGAGAACCGTGTTACTTCTTCGAGGTCAGAATGTTCTACACGCCAAAACTTCTACGCCGATTATTCCAGAAGTCCACATGTGTACATAAGGGGCTCCGCGTGGCGATCTGCAGTCAGTCTCGCCCCAGCGATCGATCCTGCTCTCTCGCTGACTTCGATGCCCGCGACGCTTTGTTACTATCTTCTATTTCCTTTTTGTTTTGGGCACAAGTTCGCCCCATTAAATGTTTAGTTTCCTCTGTTATTCTTTGTTTCCTCGCCTGTTCCTTCGGGACAATATACATATATTGGAAGGATTATGCCGGTAGGAAATGCGTCAAAAGTGATCTTGATGCATTTCCCAGCTCGTTCGGTGCAACCGCAGTCTACACAACTCTGCAGCACCTTGATGAAAAGGCAGATTTCTACAGAATTCTACCGGAATGAAATAGCAAGTCCTGGCTTTACTGATGCACCACAAATGTGCCCGAAGCACCTCCTCCACAGCATGGCACAAGAGAGTTGATGAAAATAAAAAAAAGTGCAGGCACGCTGGTGAACTACTTCCACGATGAGAAAACCGTGACCAGGAACAGATAAAAAAGATGGAGAGTTCCTCCTATCTGTTCCCAGCCTTGGGTTTTTCCATTACAAAGAGAGTTGAGTTGGCGTGTAATGACAATGTCTCTGCCATGACCAACGATTTCACAGAGCTGGCCAAATTACTCATATTTTGTAATTAAATTACATTACTAATTACTTTGTTGAAAAGTGCTGAAATGTAATTAAATTACATTACAAATTACCACAGCCAGAAAGTAATTAATTACCATTACAAATTACTTTTAAAAGTAATGACATTACTTTCGCATTACTTTTGTATACTTTTAAATATAAAGGGGGTATTGATAACTTCCTTTTACAGATAACTTTATTTACATTATTTACACAGTTCATGGCACACAGCTAGAACTCTCTGCTGCATGTTTACCGATGGACAGAGGAACGCACGCGACTGATCCGTTTCCCACCCCAACCCGGACAATTATTTTCGGAGATGACTGAGGACCCTACGCGGGTTATCTCTGGGTGGGGGGAGAACAATTGTCATTGTTCGCAAAACCGCGTTGAGGCCGTTCCACGAGGGGCCTTAGTTCGACCTACTTCCCCTCCTTCGTTTCCCGAGAATGTCGAGCAGAAAGGCTCAAATGGCAGGCACTTACCAGCCCTATTTCTCACAGTGGAAGACAACACAGAGAGGGTACGCAGCATGCATCAGGAAAAGTAAGCGGACACTTTTAAGAGGGGCAAGAAAACGTCGAATCCAAAACCGCAAAACATAAGTAGATAATCGCGCTGAGCGGGTTTTCACAGTTCAAGAGAGTGGCAGAAAATGTCTAGCTGATAGCGGGCGCGAGAGTCGCATCAGCCGCATTAGCATCAGCAACATAGCGGCGGCCTAAGAGCGTTTTTTTGGAAAGGTGTAGAGGAAAAAGAAAAAGTAAAATGAAAAGAAAAGCGCTCTTGTGTATTTTGGACGCAAAAATATTCCTGGTGCGAAAAGGTAATTAGGTAATTTAATTACAATTACAATCGCTGGAGTAATTCATTACATTACTAAATTACCTACTACAAAAAGTAATGAATTACATTACTAATTACTGGAACAAGTAATTAAATTACAGTAATTTCATTACAGTAATTACATTACTGCCAGCTCTGCGATTTCACCACCATCACAGCTGAGAGAAGAAACAAAAATTTAGAGGAAGCACCGCATTTTTCGGACTATAGCCCGCAGATTATACATGTTTAAAAGTTGAAATTTTACCCGATGCGGACTACCTACAGGTCCAAGCTATACAAGGATTTGTATTTTTTCTAGATTGTTCACTGTGACAAGATGTGCAAGCATTTTATGAATAACGGAGAGTATTAATGTTGATCTCTGTATGATACAAGGTCCTTTGTGAGCTAAAACAGCAGGCATTTGTCAGGTTGTGCTGTGTATGATCATTCTTATGTTTGAACTAGTCACCAAGTACAGACTATGCAGTGGGTATGGACTATCAAAGCAAAATCTTTTTGCTTCTGAGCCCAAATCTGTCCCCGCAGACTATGCACCTCGTGCAGACTATAGCCCAAAAAATTTAGTACATGACCAAAAAAAAAAAAAGTTGTAATATCTGTGAAACTTGTACCACTTTCATGGCTTTACAAAAAGAAAAAGAAAGCATACCTTTTTCCATTAATCTAGGCCTATAGTTTGCTCACCTACACATTACTACCCTTTTTTTCTACACCCACTGTGTGCGCCACCCTTCAGTGGCACTCGGCATATTTCCTCACTTGAAAGAAGAAGGAGAAAAAAAGACTTCAAAAGCTACTCACGCGAGGAAGGTTCCCCTGATGTTGACAGAGTGCATCAGGTCGTAGCGCTTCATGTCGGTGTCGAGCGTGCCGGTCAGGCTGATAGCGCTGGCATTGTTCACCAGGATGTCAATGCCCCCGAACTTGGACACCGCGTCGCCGACGGCTCGCTTGACTTGTTCCTCGTCACGCACGTCCACGATGCAGGGAAGGCACTTGCCGCCGGCAGCCTCAACTGGAACCGGGTTTAGAAACGGCAAAATTCAAAGGGCCACTCTGCCCAAAACTCTTTTTCTTTAAAGCCCTATACCCTGTATCAAAAATGCCTCGTAGAAGCAGCAAGATGTCTACTGGCCCTGTCTGGGCAAAGCTGCTTTGGGGCTGGCGTGGTTAGCTCTGTTGCTGGGCGTCGCCTACATGCTGCTACAACCTGGCCATTTTAGTTGCCCCCCCCCGCTCCCCGCAGGAGTTGAATAGGCCAAGAGAGAAGGGAAATCCGTTTCGACAGGGCTCGCACACACGCAAGTTGCCGCCATACTACAATGGAGTGGCGCTACTTTTAACTTCAAAATGACGCAACAACACTTGGTTTATTCCTGTTAAATAGGGGTGTGCGAATATTCAATATTTCGAATATGCATGGAATATTTTCCTTATTCGATTCGAGAAAGTATATTCTGAAATTTCCGAATATTGGGTTATGGTAGAGTATTTCGGCTATATACGAATATTCGATCAAATAGTGAATACTCTGCGCGCATGACATGCCCTGAACATTCAGAGCTTCCTTAAAAGCTGTGTTTAGTTGCCTAAAATTGCGGGTATTGAGGCCTTTTTCCTATAAATCCTAACCCTTCACGTTATTCATAGAACTACCGTGCTTGTATGATTCTAACACGCAGGCAGATTTAGCTCTCAGATATTTAAAAAGTAAATTGCTGCCGATTTTATCGCACAGGTAAAATAATGAAGGTTGAACGCATACCTCATGGGACAAATTTTATGAAACGCACACCAGCACAAACATAAATACCATGCACTAGTCGCCTTTGTCGAAGTCCAACGATGGTTCTTCGCTGTCCACAAAGGTAATCCTTGCCTTCTTCCAAAGCGTTTTAAGAGCCATGCTTTTTTTGCTTGTACGGGTGTCCGACCGTCGCCTCCTGGGAGGGTCGTCTTCCAAACAACACTGCGAGCTCGTCGGGTCGCTGGCATCGCGATATCACGCAGTGCTGCTTTGTTGTTATCTTTCCCCGCCAGCGTGATGGCCTTTCGTTTAATCAAAGCCTCCTAGTGGAATTTCTTTTGTTTCTCCATCTTAAAACGGCAGACAGGAGTTCGTAGAGATGAGAGAATGCACGTGATACGGATACCAAAATGGCAATGGATCGATCGATGATACTAGCTGCGCCCTTTGTAACAGGCGGTAGCTTGCACCACCTAGCCTAAGAAAATGTTTTGCTCCTCCACTTAAACACCCAATTTATTTCCCTCTACATCCCTGCAACTATGGGCAGGGGGAAAGAACCACCAGGCTGACCTATGAGAGATTCGGCAAATACAAAATAAAAATAAAAAAAAAAGGAAAACACCCTTTTCCCTCCCGCCTTCTCCCCACTGGCGAGGGAGTCACCAATTTTCCTCTGGTCAACCATGTTGGGGTTCTTTCCAAATCCAAACCCACTGAGAGACAGGGTTGAGACTTCGGGCCGGAGCAACATGAAAAGGAGCCCCTCTTTTTCTTTGTCCTTCCTGTCTCCGGTTGTGCTAGTTGGATTCATGGTTTTGCCCAAAAAAAGACGGACACAAGAGAGAGAAACAAACACGAGCGCATTTTAAAATTAGAAAAACATACAGATATATCGTTGATTTCAATGCGTCCACGCATGCGTCGTGTCACGATCACGCATGCGTCGTGTCACAGAGAGAGAAACACGTCGTGTTTCTCTCTCTTGAGTCTGTCTTTTTTTGCGCAAAACCATGAATCCAAACGTTCACCAACTCGCCCAACAACAAACTATTTTATTGTGCTAGTTGCTTTTAGCAATTTCAGTTTTCCCTAGTCTCCTTCCAGCAATGCACTAACCTCTTTTTTGTTACCCCAACCCTTTTATAATCCACCTTTCCATCTCCTCCAACAAAACACTGGTCCCCCTCTATGTCTGTTCTCCCCTCAAGAAGGGCAGGTTTAAACCCCTTGCACCTCAAAACCAGGTGTTGCATAGGTTCGCTCTCCATTCCACATATGAAACAAATTGTATCCATATCTTCGAATTTTGCCCTATAAGTCTTTGTTCTTAGTACCCCAGTTCTGGCCTCAAACAGTAAAGAGCTCCCTCTAGGATTGTCACACTAAGTTCCTTTCCCTATTTCCTGTTTTTGTAACCTATATATGATTAAAGCTGATTCCTTTCCCACATCTCTCTCTCCGCATCCTTAACTTTGTTTACTACTGACTTCGTTTGACTGCCCGCTTGTAAACATTTGTTTATGCGCTTTCGAGTCCGTTTTGCGCAATTTGCGTTCAATCTTTTCACGTATAGGAACTTATAAACCTCAGCTGCACACCTCATCTGCTCCGTATCAGTTAGCCTTCAATCAAACTTTACTTGTTGCCTCTTCAGGCACGTAGCCAGGGGGGAGGCCCATGGGGCCCGGGCCCCCCCCCCCCCCGAAATCTTCCATTTTGCTGAGACCTCCTCTCCCCCCTCCCCCTCATTCAGCATTTTGTCATTAGCGGGCACCCCCCGAAACAAAATTCTGGCTACGTGCCTGTGCCTCTCTGCTCTCAACCATACCTAACCCATATCCTCCTTTAACCCTTCATTTGGTGTGTTGCCATGTGCTTCTAAAGCTAAGCTGCTTACACTCCTTTGCCTTACCTCTAAGCTTGACTGTACTTCAGATTTTATACACAGGACTGCATTACCGAAAGACAACCCTGGTACCATTACTTCTTTCCATACCCCCCCTCACAACTTCATATTTATTAAAATTCCACAATGCTTTGTGTTTCATAATAGCCAAATTTCTTTGTCCTTTCTTCATCACAATATCTTCATGTTCATTCAGATATTTTTTTCCCTCATGTAACCATACACCTAGATATTTATACTTTTCTACATGCTTTATCAGAGTGTCTTGTATCTCTAGAGGTTCCCCCTTCTCGTCGCTATGAACTAGTATCCCAGACTTGTCCCTACTGAAGTTAAGGCCTAAAGTGTCCCCTTCCCCGTCGCAAATTTTGATTCGTTTCTGCATTGTCTATCGACTCTCTGCTACAGGTACAATGCCATCCGCATACTTCAGCCCTGGTAAAGCCTGATTTACTTTTTCTCTTACTCCATATAAATCAAATCAAATACTAAATTCCCTTGCTCTAATATTTTTCCATTTCACTAAGGCAGTGGTTCTCAACCATTGATGATTCGCGGACCCTTTGTGGATCGGTGGAGATGATGGGGGACCCTACTCATGGTGAGGAGAAGGGAAAGGTATAGGTTAATTTTGATAATTATGCAATAGATGAATATAAATAAGGGCGAGTGTGAAGTAGACTACTCTAATTGACATGCACATGAGAAAACTCGCCCAAAAGTGGAATGTTTCAACTCAATCTGGAAAGAATACGACTTTTATTGCCGAGCTTGACTGATGAGGCAGTGCTTTGCAGACCCCTAGGGTGCCTTTGCGGACCCCCATTTGAGAACCACTGCACTAAGGTATATCATAAAGAGCAGGGGAAACAATGGATAGTCCTGCCTAAGTCCTTTCTGTATTGCTGCTGTAAACAACTGGTCTTGATGGCGATGAGGCTAGCCACCATATACCAAGTTTTGCGGGTTTTTGTCTTTTTTTTTTTGTTGTTTTCAATTGTAAAACTTACATATTTTTTGCCAACGATTTTGGCAAAGAAAAGTGTGCTTTAGAATCGTGCAAACATATGTATTAGCTCACGACAAAGGAGCAGTTTTATTTTTCGTTTTGCCAAGCTTGCATTGTGAGTCACTTTTCTAGTGGCCTTATAGTTTATGCTGCGGGAGCAAGGATATTTTCGGCTGCAGGCGCAGCTGTCACTGCGAAAAGGGAGCACCTCTGTACTGAGCATCCGGAACAATTATTTTCTTCCATGATAATTTGCAATATTTGCAATAGCAGCTGGAATCTAACTTGCTGGCTAAATAAAGGCAATTTTTTTTTTTTTTAAATGTTACTATTAGTTGTTTGTGCATCAAGATTACAGCTTGCATTTCTACATATGCTATCTAGACATGAACAGTTTTGTACACTCTTAAGATTGTCAATTTATAGAACTTATCAGTTGTGCCTTTTGCCTGTTTTCATGTACAGTTAACAAGTGATTACTAGTCAAGGTACAATAGCTGTGCTACCAGTTGCATTGTTTATATGCTGCCAAGTCAGCTAGTTTCATTTACTCGAATGTGTTAACATAATTTTCGGTCTTGAAGGTGATAAACAAAGTACTTGCATATTTTCCTTCGTTATTTCTTAATGGTACACGCATATTCTAAACATATTCAATATTCAAAGCTATATTTTTCTGCTATTCGTATCTGTTTCATATTCGAAAATTTTAATATTTGCACACCCTTACTTTTAAATAATGTTTTAATGTCTTTTCGAGCAAAAAGTTTGTGTCCCCGTGGTGTGGCAGGTCTGTAGCCAGAAATGTTTTTCTGGGGGGGGGGGGGGCGGGGTCAATTTTTTGAGGCCACAACTTCGAAGCATTGGAAGAAAGAGGTGGGCGGGGGGGGGGGATTCAGGGATGAAATGGCATCAGTCAAGCTGTTCGGGCCCCAAGGTCTTTCTGAGCCAGAGACGATGAGCCTATGATTTGCGGGCTCATCACCATTCTTCTATAATCTACCTCTTGACGCGTTCACCAAGATTTACCAGCCTTGTCGGGAGTCAGGAGCGCAGCCGCGGCATTCTCATCTTTGCATGTCTATCAGGAGCTAATTGTTGGGTGCACCGTCCCAATCACCGCCTCTGCGGCCTTATTTTGCGAAAACCAAATGTTGATTCAGTATCCCTTTAACTGCTGCTGTTCTGCTAGAAATTCAAAATTCCTTGGAAGCAGAGATACTCATTGAGCTGTTTAACATGGTTCCCTGATCTTGTCCATCACAATGAAAACTGAATATATTATCATTATAATCATTACTGATCAAATCTCTTCCCCACTCTGCCTAGTAATACAGCTCGAGGCGAAATCAACAGAGCTTCCTGTATCCACTTCACGGAGCCAAAAAATAGAGAGTGGTTCTCAGCTCCCAAGAGATCATGTTACACAGATACTCAGCTCTACTTCTTTTACTCCCTTTCAAAGTGAAAAATACTTTCACAAAGTTTTCGAACCGGAATTTCACCAGAACTTTTGGACTCCAAGCTAGGAAACAACATATATTTCGGGAGCTTGTTTTCGTCTTTTCTTCGTTTTCCTTTTTAGTTTACTAAAATTAGACAACTAGCTGATAAGGTGCGTGTACTTTGGATCGAAAGAAAAAAAAGAACCGAACTGCACGGAGATGTATTGTTTTCGGATGTCCACGTACCTTCTTGAGCGGCGGTGTAGATGGTCCCAGGCAGTTTGGGGTGCGGTTCGGCCGTCTTGGCAGCGATGACAACGTTAGCACCGTCCTTGGCGGCTTTCAGGGCGATCTCTTTGCCGATTCCACGGCTGGCGCCCGTGATAAAAAGCGTCCTTCCAGCGAGTTTCCTGCAAGGGGTTGAACCCGATTAGACGGTTCCAGCGCGGAGACAAACGGCGCGGACAACGTCCCAAAAGAGCGTCACCTTGCAACCGACAAACTCGATAAAATCAGTAACAGGACATATTTACTCTCACCTTGAAAGAGTACGTCGGACAATCGAGACCGGTAAACAAGGAAAACGGTGCAGAATGCGCCGGTAAGCCGCAGGGCGAGAGTGGGTGAGATTAGTACGACGGTGTATCGGCGATGTTGCGATGCTGGTCCTACTTACCCTGTGTTAATCATCTTCCTACGGTTCTGCAGCGCCTTGGAGGTACGGTAACCTTGTAATGCGCTGAAGGCACGATTTGATTTTCAACTTGCACCCGGAAATAAAAGCTCGCGGTCGGCAACGACGAGAACTCCTCAAGTGGTTCGGTCCGGGCTTGAAATCGGTATTGGATTCGATCTACGAATGACTTGGCTTAGCTTGGCTTGACTTCTTAAAAACAACTGCTCAAAAGCAAATCGAGCCAAAAAAACACGATGTTTGAGGCGCGGCATTTGAACCTTGTGTTCGAATCAGTCGACGACTGATAGACTACTCAGGAAACTGCAGCACGAAAGCTCGTGCTGCAGAGCTCAGGCGTGGGTACACCGTGGGCGTGGGTTCCCCACCCCTGCCCGTCTCGCTCTGAATGAGAATCGTACAGACGTGCAATCGTTTAGCACTACCTAAATTTTTCATCTACAATGGGTACCAATGTCGCCATGTCCTGGCAGACTAAACTCCCGCTGCTGTATAAACAACTAACGACTAATTAGTTTGTTTGTTTGTTTTCTCGAATAATAGGACACGGAGGGAGGAGGGGGGGGGGGGGGGGGGGGGCGAAAAGCATTCTTGGCTACGCCAGTGTTTTCATAGATCGATTGTGCGTTCTGCACATAGAGTACAAAACAGTAAGTGACCTCCTAAAAACATTCATGTCCTCCTGAAATGCTGCCGTGGTTGTGCCTTTCATACATTTAGGAAAAGTCCTCGAAACATTGTTCTGACGAAACCTGAGAAAATATAAAACTTTTTTCCGGAGGTATAAGGAGCCAACCTTTAATTGCATCCGTCTTCCGCATTGTGTGTTCGGCCCAAGGCAGCTTTCTGGCTTTTGCCTCCGTAGTAGATAGCACCAAGCGTATTCCTTTCACGCCGCGAGAGTGCTGCATTCAGCGCCACAAGCGTAAGCTTGTCTGGTAATGGGGCAGACATTCTGTCCATCGGTCCGTGGCGAGCGGCGGCGACCCCGATTTCAGCAGTTCTCGTGTGGACGTGCGCATTACGGCCCTGGTTTCTTTATGATGTTTTAAGACCATGGGCGTACCAACCGGGGGGGCAACGGGATAGCCGGTGACGAACACAATATCGCTGCTCCTTCTCTTGAGTTGCCCAGAGTTGAGATTAACTACCTGAAGCCAGAGCTGAATTAGTCAAAGGGCCCTCTATCTGATTTTGTCAATGGTGTTTCCTGTCTTTTCTTATTTTGTCTTTATCTTCTAGGCTATTTGGGGATTTTGTCCTTTTTCTAGGCGTATATAAATATATTAATTTTTTCCGTAACTTCCTCATTAGTTTCAAAAGTTAGGAGGGAGATAGTATGTATCGAAGGAGACATCACTAAATGTGTTGCTAGTTGAAAGAACTGTGCTGTCTGTCCTTGTTCCTAAGCATTTTCATTCTTTTTTTTTTTTTTACTCTTGGATACCAAGTGCACCACCCCCAGCCCTAAGGGGCGGGGGAGGGAGTTTTGGTTCCCCCCCCCCCCCCCCCCCATTCAAAAACAAGTTGGTACGCCACTGTTTAGGACCATTGGGAGCCTCGATAGATTGAAATGCTTAGAGCATATTCTAGGGGTCATTTGGATGCCAGTACGAGTCGTCTTCACTGCTCGAATAAAATGCGGGTAATAGAACCAAACTGCATGCTAGAGAACAGTACGCACATTGCAATGGCTGCAATGTGATATGCAAGCCTGGCGTAAAAAGGTCATAGGCAAAACAATGTACGCGTGAGAGGTTATTTACGCTCCACATGAGCTTTTTCTAAAGAAAAGCTTTGGCATCCTCTTTTCCGCACGCCGTCACATTTGTTACACAACTCAGCATTGAATTTGGTTGCCGGAACAAACAAACCTTTGTGCCACGAAAATCCACTATTTGAGAACTTGCAGGTTTGGGAGGCTTTGGTTGCGATCGTGCGTGCCGAACAGCTATGCACACGTACGACTACGAGTGCCGGAACGGGCCGACGGGCCTTTCGCTTGAAGGTTTGATCGCCCGATTCTCGACATCACAGCGAAGCAACCATTGGCTCGATTGTTCCTGCAATTTCCCTCTGTGGCTGTCAAAGTGACTAGCAAAACTACTTGCATAAATAAGTTATTTTGCCCACTAGTCTGCAAAACAAGTTCGTCAGACAACTGTCCAAGCCTACTTGATGCGTCGCACTGCAGTAATCCACTTCTGTCGCCGTGTCGCTTCCCAAGATCTCGAAGGGAAGCGGTGAAGTTTGACGCTTGAGTCACCTTCGCGACTGTGGCAGTCTTTCACACAGCAGTAGCGACGTTTATTTAGGGGGGGGACTCTAGTAGTAGGTGAGACGTCACAGGAACCCGGTGAGGTCATAGAGACTAAAAGCTGCGACTTGCCGATACGAAAAACAGTTCCCAGAAAGGCTCGTGCCGATGGGAAATGCCACGTTCACACGCGATTTCTAAATGCGCCCGCACGCAGTTCTCGCGACACGGGCCGTCCTGGACTACCCAGTCTTTTATTTTGTAGCCACTAGATGGCGCAACTTGTAGTGCCGCTGACTGCCCCTCGACCTGCAAGCTTGCCTTCCCCTGACGTCACGGCACTGAAAAGCACGGGTATTTTTGAATGTTGGTTTTGGCATCATTTTCACTTGCCAACAAAAGCAAATAAAACGAGAAAGGCACAGCAGCAGACGACAATCAGTTGGGGAGATGAAGGTCCCGAGGAGGGTCCAAACTGTTAAGAACGGTGAAGAAAGGGGAAATAAACGAAAGGGGGAGAGGAGGTCGACTTCACAGCACAAATTAAGAAAAACGAAAGAAAAGAATGCGAATGCAAGGGCTGTTGGAACATGATGCCACAATAACGAACAAACAAAACGAGAAGGACACAACAGCGAAACGACTATTTACTTCTTTGCAGGAGCGGGAGAAAATATATCCAGATTCGATGACGCCGATGCGGCCATATCGAGCTCACGGTGTCTATTTTTGGAGAAGTGACGGCGGTGCTCGCAGAAGCGTTTATGGGAAATAAACGAAAGGGGGAGAGGAGGTCGACTTCACAGCACAAATTAAGAAAAACGAAAGAAAAGAATGCGAATGCAAGGGCTGTTGGAACATGATGCCACAATAACGAACAAACAAAACGAGAAGGACACAACAGCGAAACGACTATTTACTTCTTTGCAGGAGCGGGAGAAAATATATCCAGATTCGATGACGCCGATGCGGCCATATCGAGCTCACGGTGTCTATTTTTGGAGAAGTGACGGCGGTGCTCGCAGAAGCGTTTATGGAGCTTGCAATTGGTTTCGCCAATATTTAAGTGTCGGGACATGCGGTGCAAAAAATTACGTAAGCAGTGTTAGCAGATTTGCCGGTATGGCTGTCAGGAAATGTGTTTGAAATTAGGGGGAGGAGGAGTGACATGCTTGCAGGTAAGGCATCAAGGGCCGTTACTTGGTGCGGTACCGGGTGAGTATCGTGTTGGGGATTTAGGGGCAGCAGACGGAAGACGGCTTTTTCATCTTTTCACCAAGAGAGATTGGAACTTTAAGAAGTGGCGGCAGGCAAGGCGTTCGTTGGGGCTTCAGAAATCTGTTTAGAAGGGTAACAGTGGCCACTATAAAAAGAAAAAAAAAAAATAGAGCTGATGGGTGACCTAGGTCTGCGCTGGTTTAGGGCAAGGAGTGTGGTATATGTCAGGACGAGTGGATTGGTGGGTTTTTTTGTGTCTCGGTGGAGACAAAGGGGCGTTGAAGGGGGGATGTGCGAAACGCGGTCTAACGCTTTGTCAAGAACGGGGCAAGGATATCCCCGGTTCAGAAAAATTGTGGACATATAGAGGGCCTCATTATAGAAATCGTCAACGTCGCTGCAAAAAGTGTTGAACGCGGAGAAATTGGGAAAATGGGACGGAGTCGATTTGGTGTTTGGGATGGCAAACGTTTTAACTGAACAGACGTTTTAAAGCTGCGGTTCTCGACGAAGATGGTGAGGTCAAGAAATGTAGGAGTTGAAACTGGTCCCAGTTCAACTGGTGACCAGACGTCCCGATTTAGGCGGGACAGGTCCCGCTTTTCGGGCCACGGTGTTTTGTCCCGAATCGGCTGCCTCGAACCCCGAATAGAAAAAAAAGACGCGGTTAAACGAAAGTATCGCACCAGTAAGAGGTTGCTTTTCCTGGTGAAGGTACAAGAATATGCTTGGAAGAGATGATGATGAAGCTGAAGGTTAATTTGTATATGACATCCGAACAGTACTATGGACATAGGATTTACAAAAATAAATACTATACTAAAGAAATATTCCAACCAAATGTATTAGATGTTAGATGACCAAACAGTTTGTGAATTGCAAAGAAAAGAAATAAGCACAGTGTATAAAAAATAATAAAAAAAGACATGATTTGTTACCCCTATTCTAATTTTTCAAGTCTCGCAACACAATAACTTAGATTTATATTTATTCAAAAAGGGCACGACCAAGGAGTGAAAACAACGCGGAAAAAAATAATGACTGCAATTTTAACACCTTTTTGTTCATGAAAGCCCCACCATACTAAAACAAAAATGGCTTCGTTTTTTTTTTTTTTTTAATAGTGTTGTAGGCGTTACAGAAAAAAAATAATGAAACACGTTCCGATCGTTACTCGGAAATAAAAGGAACAAATTATTGACCTTTGCTACCTCAAAATAAAATGAACCCACCACTGTTACCGATCAAAAGTAACGCACATTACTTTTGCGTTACTTCTCGTTCACATATATAGGGGCACAACGAGAACCGCCCGCAAGTTCAAGGGAGATGGGAGAGTGAAGGATTACAGCCCTACCAGGCAGGGGGATAAAAAGGTGCACGGCAGCTGAAATGTTGAGTGTGAACAAGGGAGAGGAAAACCTTGAGTTGGTGTACGCAGGACTGAATGATGAGTAGTACACTATTCGACGTTGCAGTTGCAAGTTTTGAAAACTCGCACACGTCTACTGCAACGATCCGGCAATGTACACTCGCACCAGAATCTAGAAAACAGCGCACATTCCTCGCAGCTCTGCGAAACGTAGCAAGGCAAGCACTTCGGCATAGTTTGGCACAAATGGCTCAGCAGTCCATATCACTGGATGTTTCTGTGCGCTGTGAATGTGTATGCAATAGGAACGATTAACCGTTGAAGTTGAAAGAGAGAGTAATTCGGGCGATTAATTTCCTTCTATATCTGTCTGTTAATGTGCGCAGCAGATGTGGGCTACAAGAGAGCAGAAACTCTCCAGGGCGTTGCACGTTGCAATGCAAAAGTTCATCCTCCATAGAGAAACATGCTGCACTTTTATTTTCAGAGCTTTCTGGTGAAGAGTTAGAGCGGCAACTTTTATGACCGTCCGTCATGACTGACCACTCGAAACAGAACCGACCGATCTCTTCGAGACTAAAAGCCCATTCATGCACTTGCGTCTGCTTCACGATCTGCTTACGGCAAAGTTGTTGCAATTTCTCACGAGAGAATACGCTGGCACACTGACGCCATCATGAGGTAACCCCAGAACTGCATTTTACTAGAGCGAAGGTTTTTCACTATTTGCGAGATAAAAGAAATACAAAAACTGAAAGTGTTTCACGGCTTCCCAACAGATGTTGTCAGTGTGCTCTCTCGTCGTAAAATATTTCAGGTGGCTTTAAGGCACATGGTTGTAATCCGTCGCAAGAGTGCGAACAAGCCTCGAGTCAACGATAGTCTACTCAAGTCGTAAAAAAAGACGTCAACAGGGGGGTGGTGTTCGGGGGACAGCGACGATGGCGACGTTCTCGGGAGTGACGCTGCGGTCGACGAAGTAGACCAGACGTGCGTCCAGGCCCGCTGTAGCCAGGCAGCGTATCCGGGCGATGTCCAAAAGAAGCTTGCAGCGACAGCCTATCTCCTCTCGGCGCTCAATGGACAGGTTCATCCGCACGTACCTACGATTCCAGGCGGGCGAGAAATTACTTTTTGAATTGGCTACTACACCTAAGGCTCCCCACCTTCGGATGTTTACCAAAACAAAAACATGAATACTAGGTAAATCTATAAAAAATGGTGCCCTCCCCCCCAAAAAAAAAACAAAAAAAAACAAGAATGAGAAAAAAAAAAACAAACAAGAGTAATCCAACTGTATATCTGTGTAGTCTTCATGTTCCTGACACCTTGTGTGCATGGTGCCCTCAAGCTTAATGCCACTATGCAATTTTCCAGATTTTGGTGGCCATGGCAATGCCACAGCAACCGCCAGAAAAAAAATGATTGGCTAGTTGGCTTCCAACTAAGCAATCACTTATTTGGGAGACCACATTCTAAAGGTGCTCGGTGTTACGCTGTCGTCACGAGGGGGAACTCACCTGTTTACGGCAACCTCCGGCGAGTCTGAAAGATTGTCTTCGTTGGCTTGTGCATTGGAGCGTGCCTCTGCAAGAATTGTCCATGTACGAGATTAATAAGAAGGAAAACTGGGACACTTGCTTAGTTTCCCACGTTCTATGGTGTTGGTAGCCACGAAAAACCTGGTGGCAATTGAGGATGCCTCTCTTTCCCTGAACAAAAGCTTCGGATACTTGCTACAGGGATGAGACAATTCTCGGAATTTAGTTAGCTGGTGCTTAGAATATACTGTACAGGGTGTGCTGTCGCCATGACAAGGGGAGAGAAATACTTCCAGTTCTCCTATGCTTCCCTTGTGTTTGGGTCGGTGCACGACGGCTCTTGGTTCTAGCGAGCAATTACGAGAGAGCTACGTTCCAGAAATACCCCAGCGTCCTGCATCTCAGTTTCCGACGCGTACTGACACAAACAAAATGTCACAACTGAAGTTATTTGTACTGACTCAAGACGAGGGACGCCAACGCCGCAACCGATCATAGGTGTCGCCAACAGATGGCGCAATGTGACAAGCAAGTCAAAACACTAGAAAATTGTTCATTACAGAGACTTGCGTCGCGCCAAAAGAAGCGCAATAAAAGAACTTTTGAAAGATTGTCTGCTAAAACTAAGAGCCGGCTCGGAAACCTTTTTGGGGAAGCTCAGCGCTTAACTTCGGCGCCTGGGGGAGCTAGGTACCCGTTGCCGTAGCCTTGCCGTTCACGAAGTAGCTGAATGTGTTTAGGGATTTGTAGGTTAAGTTGTTTTCAGGTATATGGACCAGACTAGTTAACTAGGTAATCCTGAAGATGCGCCCACGATGCCTTCAGCAGATTCGTCATTTCTTTGAGGAACAAGTGCTCTTTCTTTCCACCTAAAAATCAGGAAGGCATGTCGTCCCGTATAAGTAAACTTCAGAAGGTACTACTACAATCGGCACTTGGCGGGGAGACTTTTAAAGAGCTCGCTACTCACTGTGGGTCCTCAAAAACAAGCAAAAAGAAAAGCCAACCGGAAGACTGCGTAATTGCGCTAAATTTAGCGGGAAAATTGACGTCACGTCACTCAACACCAATTCAGTTCCTACTAAATTTAACGGGGAAATTCAATTTCTCCGCTAGATTCAGCGGATATATTAAGTTTCTCCGCCAGATTTTGCGGAGACTTTGACAAATCGCCTAAGCACCAATTAAATTAGCAGGGAATTGAATTGGTGTTAAGGTCACGTTGCATCAATTTTCCCTCTATATCGAGCGGAGAAACTGAATTTGGTCATAGGTAATGTGACACTAAGTCATGTGATGCTATTTTCCCCGCTAAAATGAGCGAAGAAACTTCATTGGTGTTGAGGTCATGTGGCATCAATTTTTTAGCAAAATTTAGTGGGGAAACTGTGGGAGGAGGGAGAGTATGAAGGAGGAGGGGAGGGTATGGAGGGGGAGGAAGAAAGGAGGGGGGGAGAGGGTATGGAGAAGGAGTAGGGGCATACCCTTCCGTCCTCCTCTGCAAGAGCTGCGTTCTGATTTCGCATTACAGAGATTTGTAACCTTCTTTAATTTCTTGTTTACCTCACACCCTGTGTATATATAGGTAAGTTTATTGTTAATTCACGCTGCTTTTTTCAAACAAAACACAAACGAGGCTCTCGTGTTTTTTCCTCCTCGACTCTTCTTTTTCCTTCAAACTGCTGGTCCCACATGCGCGTGGCACTACGAGTGCAAGTGTGAAAGCTACCGACGAAAAGAAGATAACCCCTTGTTAGCGGAAAATACACTCAGTCGTTTCTCACAGATCGTGGAACAAAGGCAAGCTAAAATGGGAGCAAAATAAAAAAAAAAATGAATAAAAAAAGACTCCCATAATTAGGATCTACAGTAAAACCTCGTTATAACAAAACGGGATATAACAAACTAATGGATATAACAAAGCAATCATAATTCCCCTTGCTTGCTAATAGTGGGAAGAAATGGACATGGGCTATAACAAACTAATGGTTATAACGAAATAATTACGACCGCTCCTTCAACTTCGTTATAACGAGGTTTTACTATAGTCTTATTTTTCATAGTGCATCCAGCTACACTGGATGCGTCCCATGGAAGTTGTGGCAACGTCACAATGATGCGACTGCACAGAAAAAACGGACCGTAGGGTTCTCCACCCCTGCTCTTGTTTCATGGTCCCTACCAACTTAATGACAATGAAGACAGTGGGGAGTACGGACAGAGTAACCACGCACCCCTTGCCGCGCAAGTGGCCCATCCGGCGAGGCACGTGAGCAACTCGAAGTCTCGTTCCGACACCCCGACCTGTTCCAGGAAGGGCCGGCCCACAAAGGAAGCCCACCGGCAGCGATGGTGGCAGCAGACGGCCATCAGCAAACCCTGCAGTCTGCAAACGGCCGTTCGAAATCACTCGTGGATGTTACGCCAAAACAACTTGTCAAGTTGGACAGGTCCAACGTGCGTCCGGGTTAGCCTACATCTCGGCCATAGATTTCACTTAGTTTCCGGATCCGTCTTGCAGAAGATGCAGGATGGATCAAGAGCCCGAATGCGTGATTCACGGCTTTCCTTGCTTTTCCAGAAGAGTGGAAAGCCAGCCACCGAAACAACTATAAAAACTGGTGGCATAGTGTGGTGGAGAGTGCGCACGCGTGGAACAGATTTAGGTTTTTCGGTTTGATGTGTAACACTGACGTCAAGCTTATGCAAACTGCCCCATGCAGTGCTCGTGTTACCGAATAAAGTAAATTGTTATAATCAATCCAACATCATTTGGAGTGATCACTCAATTGCTCAATGGCAAAAGTGATTGAACATTGACTTCAGGAGGAACTGTTACTTTTGGATTCCTTGCCTTCGTCCTTCATACTCGTCTTCAAGCTCCAAAAAAAGTCACACGACAAGCATTTTGTCATGCAGGAGAGAAACAGGAAACAAACTCGACATGAGGCAGACTTACGCAGACGTGGCAGCACCCGAGTCGGATGTTTTTGCCGTCGTCTCAACGAGGCAGCGAATGGCAAAATCTGTGGACACAAAAGCAAGTGGTCAGTTCCGCACCAGTGTTTCCCAGAATGTCATTCCGACATGAAATGGGGCTGCATGTCACCACTTGGTGAATCAAAGCATAGCTTTACACGAAGACAGCAGAAGATGGGGTAAAATTTCAGTAGCAAATGTTTCAAAGGTGAGAACTGCATTGGGAAAGTTGAATAGGACGATTTATTTACCAAGAATTAATTTCAAAACAAAAGTCCAGGCCCAACTCCTTGCAGTAAAAGGCGAGTGACTTTATACTTAAACATGTTTAGCGGCAGTGTTTCGTGCAGTTAATAGACAAAGTCAGCCTAAAACCTCGAAGCCGAATCAGAGAATCAAACTAAGATGATCCGTAAAGACGTCTCCCTGCTATTATCTGAAACTCAACCAATAGCGATGCAGGCAACCCATTTTACAAAATAAGAAACACCTAGACACACAATAGAGCTGAAACGTTCAGTAATTTGGATACCTGTGGCTTCTCCACACAAGTGTTTGCAGAGCCCGACTAGACGTCCCTCATGTACTTTCACAAGGTCGACGTTACCTGCAGGATTGAAACACCCCATTAAAACCAGTATTTGTTCAAGACTACCGCTGGCTAATACGGAACTGACTCCAATGCTGACTACTTGCAGAATAAAACTAATGAAAATCAAAACTCTAGTGTTTCTTGTGGTCCTGTACCAGTTGCAAAAAACAGGTAAATGGCTGCACATACATACAGTTACTGCACCCAAAAGCATGTGATTAAATTACTTGATTACTACGTATGAAAAGAAATTTAGCAGTCACTTTAGAAGTAATCTTTTCTTCGCATAACATTGGACTAAGTCGCACGATGATCGTGCCGCATCTTGAATTGCACTTCGTTGTTAAATAAATTTAGCTCGTGTAAGTTTGCAATATTAAAGTACTTTTTCTGATAATATGACGTCTGTTTTTTGTTCTTTTACCCTCTTTTATTCCTGACCGAAAAAGAAAAAAAAAAAAGAAGAAAATTCAAGGGTTTCAGAAAGCAGATAACGAGATGAATTTTGTTTAGGGATGGAGCTGACACGTAAGGCAATCGTAACTCACCTAGGCAAAGGTGCTCAATGTCAATCTGTAACCTCCGAATTTCCGAGCTGTTCTCCTGCTCCTCCCTGCGTATCTTGTTCTCAAACTGAAATGCGAAGTTTGCTGCAATGAAGGCGTCGCCCAGCAAGCAGGCGACCTTCTAAGTTTTGTAAATGGCTTGGCATTTTTTGGAGAAGAGGCAATTCGACCGTGTTTCTTTTGATCTTTGTTTCTCGGCCCTCTTTTCTCCGTCCCCGAGAAAAAAAATATTGCACGACCACCTGTGAACTGCTATACTATGCTGCTGCTGGCATATGCTAAAAGCGTGTAAATACTACAGAGTGTATTTGGATAAAAAGAAAGACCTCCATATCCATGCGATTCTAAGCACCACCCTAGTTTAATATGACGAGATTTAGAAAAAAGACATGTTTGTAGGCAAGTTTAATTACTCTGCCTTAAACGTAAGCACACCTCTCTCCAACCCCTTTCGTTGCAGAAATAAAAGTGCATACACTTTACGAACATAGTTTCTGCACTTTCATCAGTCACGGAGAAAAAAACTGACAAGTACCTTATGTCGAGACGACGCCCGATCGACTAGGAGAAAGCGGCATCCTTTCCCAGAGAGGATTTTGGCCAGCCAATAAGACAGACGCCCTGGAAAGAAAAAAATTAATATAAATCAAGTATGGCCCTAGTGCACCATTACGATGTGGTACCGTACCAGCATAGATCCTTTAAAAGAACTCAGAAGTGAACACCGAACCTTACAACACTTTAAAAACTCGAGACCAGAAAACACAGAGGCGAATAACGCACACAGACCGTCCTTTTTTGTGTTTGTAAGTCTCGTGTTTCTAACATGCAGTGATGAAAGCGGCATTGGAGCAGGTTTTGTAGCAGGCGAAAATATGCGGAGCGCAAGTTCGTCTGCTTCTTTTTGCAGGGGTTGTGTCGACGTAAGAGTACTGAGCTCCGATTGGTTCTTATTGAAGGATAGTGGGAAGATCTCAAAGCAAGCTGCCTTGAGGTGTGCCCACTATCCTTCAATAAGAGTCAATCAGAGCTCTGCGTTCTGACATCACCACAACCCCTGCAAAAGAAGCAGACGAACTTGCGCTGCGCATCGGTTCAGAGCAGCCATTGACGTTTCTGGAGCAGATGCCAACATCTGTTAGCACACAACATGAAAATAAAAAAAGTGTCGCTAAACGAGTTAGTCTTTGATAATGACTGAGGGTTTCCTTTTGATACTGGAGCATATTACTTATTATCTTTTGTAATAAGAATAAAAAGGGTGCTAAAGGAACAGTGAGCTTCCTTTTAATAAACGAAACTCTGGCCAGAGTAGGTTCCAACGGGTATTTAAAAAAATGATTAGAAAATTATCACAGCGCAACACTTCAGTTCGGATCAAGCCTCACTCCCCTACCCCTTTTACACTCGGTAGTTTATTTAGCCCGTAAATATAATTTCCGTAAAATGCCAGCGAAAACCAGCATATCTGCTAACACGGGTATCAATGAAAATGCTTACCCCAAGTTTTATGAACCTACCAAACTCAAGACTTTAATATTTTAAACTTCAAATACAACCACCCACAAATATTAAGAAAGCCTACCACTGCACCCTAAATATGACACTACTCTTTAGCTGCGTTGGAACCAGAGTTGAGTCAAAGTTGGCTGCTCTTTCGATCGACAGCTGCACAGGAACCATCCATATTTCTTGAAATATAGAGCCACTTTTTTTTTTTTTTTCTTGGCACAGCTTTTTAAAAGTAGGTCAATCTACGATCAAGAAAAAGAAAGTAGACCTGTAATAATAATGAGCATAATTTCTGAGCCTGTCATGCTACAATTTGCCTGTCATGCTACAATTTCCTTAACAAGTGTCCCTTGCAAAATTTTAGAGCACATAATCTATTTGCATCTCGTTAATTTTCTTAATTCCCATACATTCTTTTCTCCTGCTCAACATGGCTTTAGAAAACTGTTCTCATGCGAAACTCAGCTATTAACACTTACGCATAACCTTCACGCTTGCCTCGATCGTTCATCTCAGGTTGACTGCATTTTTTAAATCTCTCTAAGGCATTTGACAAGGTTTCACATAGGCTCCTTTTGTATAAACTCAGTAAACTGAACATTGACTCTCATGTTTTGACTTGGATCAACGCCTTTTTAACTAACCGTTCTCAATTTGTTCATGTTAATGGCATTAACTCGCATTCCTCTCCTGTGACTTCTGGTGTCCCCCAGGGTTCAGTACTCGGCCTTCTTTTGTTTTTAATATATATCAATGACCTTCCTTCGCATATCTCATCCTCAGTTGGTCTCTTCGCAGACGATTGTATCATTTATTCTGAAGTAACTAACGATTTTGACGTTCCTGCACTCCAGTCTGACCTTTACAATATTTCTCGTTGGTGTGATAAATGGCAAATGGAGCTCAATATTAACAAGTGCAAATCCATGAGAGTATCACGTCAAAATAACACCTGTCCCTCGTACCATATAAGAACTGTTGAGCTGGAATCCGTGTCCTCATTTAAATATCTTGGTGTTCATATCACTAACAACCTCTCATGGAACATTCATATTGAGTATATAATTAAAAACGCTAACCGCATGTTGGGCTTTCTAAAAAGGAACTTCTCTCTTGCCCCACTGTCCTTAAAACTACTTCTTTACAAATCATTGGTCCGCAGCAAACTTGAGTATTCTTCCGCTATCTGGGACCCCGGTATAACGCTTGCATTATCATTAGAAGCTGCTCAAAACCGTTCTGTTTGTTTCATACTGCATAACTATCATCGCACATCTAGCGTAACAGCAATGAAAACTACCCTAAACTTGTCTGACCCCTCCCTACGTAGAAAAATATCTCGTCTATGTTTATTTCATAAAATTTACCACCACAATGCAAATCTTCGTCAGCATCTGTTAACACAACCATCATACGTCTCATCACGTCTCGACCATCAAAATAAAGTTGGCATCCCTCAGTGTCGCACCTCAAGCTTTCATCAGTCTTTCATACCCATGACATCACTGGACTGGAATCGCCTTCCCGCACCTGTTGCCAGCATAGCCGAGAATGCCGGATTCAAAGCTGCACTTTGCGAATATTTCTTGGATTTTGGTTGACAGCGTTCTGTTTTAACAATGTTCTGTTTTTGGATTTTTATGCTTACCCGCCTAATTACTGTTTGTCTTTGTGTGCAATTAGATGTGTGTGTCCACTCCCCTCTATAATGCCTTCGGGCCCTGAGGGAATGAATAAATAAATAAATAAATAAATAAACCCAGGCACTCCCCCATGTCAGCTGCTGCTCCTAGCAGTGCGATGCAGAGCAGCGAAGCTCGACGCGCGTGCTCTGATCAGAGGCGGCAGAGGTGGACACAAGCGGCACAAGTGCCCAAAACTGGCCACGGCACGGAGGCATGTGGCAGACACAATAATCAAGTGATCTAATCAGGAGGAGTACAAGACCATGATCCTGTCTTATCGTAGTAGCTGCCATCTTGCCATTTTTTAAAGTTTACTCGCCACTTTTAGCACCTTACATCGGCGACGTCGTCTGGAAATTTAGTTCATGTCGGCGATGCACTGGGCAGCACATAACTGGCCGGCGTGGTTGATGAGAAATTTTTGTTTAACCTTATTTCTAAAATGTATACATGGAACACATGATTAAAAAAATTATCACAAAAAAAAAAAATTCTTTCAGCAACACTTACGTTGTTAGACGCAAAATTTAGGTGGAGAAGGTGGACACTGCAGCTTGCTAAGCCCCGCCCCAAGTTTACAAGCTGCTTACATCTCTCATTGGCTGGAGAGATGATGTGTGAAATGTTGATTGTAAATAAAATTGTATCTCCGTGCCGTAACAGTATTTTAATCGGGAATTTTTCTAGGTTTCAGAAACTAATTTCGATAGTCATGATTGTTTTCAAAAATATCCCAAGATTGCCTTTTACGCATTCATGTGAAGCGATGATAAACATGGCTGCCGGCGTCTGCGGAGTACAGCTCAATGAGCGCAGCTCGTCGAACTCGTCTATTTTTTAAGTGTGCGAGTCGTTTTGCATTTGCTCAAGTGTTCAGAGGAAGATCTCCTCAATCGATGTAGTAGTTTGAAACGAACAACTATCGCCAGTATGTGCCTTCGAAAGAGTTGAGTGGGTGCTTGTTTTCGTAGCGAGACTGTCCGAACTCTAGCGTCCAACGTCAACTATGTTGCTCAATCTGGCTTGATTTGTTGGTTCGCGTTTGTTGGTGTTGAATAAAGATGTTGGTTCCCATAAAAGCGGCCCCGCTGCACTGTGAATCGTGCCACCGTCATGATTGCAACCATAGTTTCAATACCGAGAAGATAGCTACACAGGTAAGAGTTAGCGAGCCATTCGGCTGGATGCAATTGGGCGTTCAGCTCACATCACGTTTGTCTGGGTATGTTCCAGTCAGTTCACTTGAAAGGCGAGTAGATCTCGAGTTTTGCAGTGTACCTGGCCTGCCAAAGTGAATATTTCTAGGTTACGTTATAATTGTGCAAGTCATGATGCTCACTCACCTTGTTTGTGGACTCCGTGCGAAAAAAAACAAGGATATCAAAGCTGAAATGACTGCACATTCATTTTGTTGCTTTATTTCGTCCCCTCGTCTGCTTTTTGCCTAACATTAACAGACGCTTGTGTTGGACCATTGCTCGCACATGATGAAATGCTAGACCCCTGCTTTCATAATCAGGTCTTGCGAGTGTTGTAGAATTCTTTTAGACTGGGGGAAAAATACCAGATAGACAAAGACAAAAATGGGCGCCGATGCACAGCTTCCATGTCCGCATCTTATAGGCATTGCAGACGATGATGGTCAGTGGTGAAATAGCAGACGAAGCCAAAGGCTGCCGCGCGTCTGCTTGCATGACTAGCAGGCGGTGTCAGATGCCAGACTGGACACCGGATGTCGCGAAAAGGAGACAAGACTTTGAAGCGTGTTCGGCCGAGCGGCCAAGCCAATCCAGTAGCAATGGGCAGGGCCACTGATCTGTGGGCCAGGTTTAGATTGGGCCGTGACCACCACCTAAATAGCGTATAACGTAAATATTGCGCAAAATATTTTTTCTTTCGTGGAAAAATTAAGAAAAACCAATGTGTCCGAAATAAATTAAAACTTTTTTTATAGCAGTGTTTTTTTTAAGTTAAAGCGCAGTTGACGCTACGAACCAGTGAAACTAATCAAACAGTGTAAAAGCGCCACGTCACGGCATTTGTCATATTCCTATACGTGTTCTTTCATTGGCTAGACCAATCAAGTGCAGCGAAGGCTCTGTGGCGTGCACTTTTAATGTGTGTTCATGGCAGGGTGCAAGATAGACAGGTGGGAAAACGAGAGCCAAATGAGTGACCGCATTGTGTCCCCCTCGGTTTTCTCTTTTCCTGTGGCGCCATCTATGTGGAGCACCGCGAACTCTCACTCCGGGTGGGCGACCGATGGCGACCGGCTAAACTGACGGAGATGGTTTTTTGTGGATTTTTAATGAAAGACTGTCGTGCTCTCGGTTTATTTTGCGCAGTCTCCCATATAGTTCCACGCAAATCCAATTCTGAGTTTTTTCCTCTCGCCGCAGCGCCATCTGTCGCAAATCGGGGGTACCCGCAAGCAGACGAGTACACAATCCGGTCACAGCGCTGCGGTAGGCTTCTATGTTTACTTCTATGGGCCGTTTCCCCACCTGTCTATCTTACACCCTGGTTCATGGTCATGTGTTCAAGCCTTCGACTGTGCTTTGACCTAAGGCAACGTTACTAAAACACTCAGTTGGGAAACTCGCCGTCGAAACCTGGGCCGCTGGCGTCCACCGAGACCGAGCTAAATGCGACAACAGCGCCACTCTTTATCGTTTGTCTGTACTGTAATCACCTTGAGCTTTTTGAAAGCCTCTTTTTGCGTAAAAACAAACGGAAAAGACTCTTTTTGTATTAAGTTTATTGGAGTTTAGTACCAAATGATGGGCGCGTGATGTTTTTTTCATCTTTAGTTCGCAAGGTTTTGCGGAACAATTAATATTGTTTTTATAAAACCATGCCTCAGCGGGCCTTTCAGGTAGCGCGTCCCGACCTAGGTGCATTTTAACTTCGGTAGTTCGACGCAGCGCGTCCGCCGGGGAGACGGGGGTTCACCCCTGTCAAAGCCAAAAATAGAAGTCACGTGCAGTTGCTCGAGTGGCCGCTGCGGGAGAAATGGTGGCGTTGTGTTCGTCATTAACTCGATGCTCGGAGACAGATTGGGGCCATATTTTTAGGGCTGTCTCTATGGGAGTTTCCCAACTTAGTGTTTTAGTAACGTTGACCTAAGGTGAGACAAACTATACGGTAAGCACAGACGCAGTGAAATACGTATTTGCAGTTTTCCTTTCCTTCTACTTCTCTAAATATTAAAGTCAACCAATAACTAAATATTTTTCTTTTGTTATTTATGTCGAAGCTTACTCGGCGCAGGTGTGGTACCATTCTCAGAAAAATGGCATTTTGGCGCAAAATGCAGTTAAGACCTTCAGTCGTGGCGAAATTGGCACAGCACTTCCAGCAGTGATGAGGAAAGTTCACAAGCTTGCCTGTATATTGTTTTCTTTAGCAAATTTTAGTTTTATGGCTGAAACATGTAGCAAGCATATTCCCAGACAACACTATGGACCTTTTTCCAACAGGCCTCCGCGCATGCCTACACCCTCTCCCCTAACCCTAGATTTGTTTTTTTGTCATATTCGGAGAGCACCGCCTCGCACGACTGAAATTGTCAGCACTTATTTCTGCTAATATTTCATCTTTCTTGACAATTATATTTTTTTGCCATTGGTAGTAGGGGGGCATAAAAAGCAATGCAAGCTGATACAATGGCACAATGCCAATATACACTGGCAGGTGGAGGCACGTTCTGCTGCCCCTCATTTGTAGTTTGCATACAACCCCCAAGATGGCACTCATTCTTGAGAAAGGTACAATATGCGATATATGGATACAAGGTGCATTATGTGCAGGGAGGAAATTGAAATGCCAGAGCATGTCATCATAGAATGTAAAGGACACAATGCGAGAAGGCTGACTTCCGCAGGGGATAGGATTCTATGAGAACAATACAACAAAATGTTTTGATGAAGTGGAGCCCAGTAAAACAAGATTAGAGAAATAGTAACTAAAATCAAGGGGAGGATAAGGCTAAATCTGATAAATTAGCATAAACATAATTTTACCTGAATAAAAAAAAAGAGTTTGGCTAGGTGGCGCAAGTTACCGCCCGATTAAAAAAAAACACCTGCCATTCACCCATCTATTGCACCAGTCATGGCTCGCGCAGTAGAGAGAAAGACGTACCTCTGCCAGCCCCGAATTCAACGTAGCAGGCCTGTCCGCCGAGGAGGCCACGACTCTCGGCTAAGCCAAGCAGCGCTGCCTTCTGCCTCAAGTGTTTCTGGGCGACCGCACAGTCCGAGAGCTCGTCCAGCTCGGCAGACAGGCCTTCGTGAAGCCCCACGTACGTCTCCGGCCGATCTGCAAGGGCTGTCGGTGCGACGACCCCAAAATGAAAACAAAACAATTACTCGAAATGGTTGGACATCCGTGCTGCGACACGGTTGTGGTGAAGGTGAGGCATCAGTCTCTGGAAGCACTTAACACGCACAAGCTAGCACTATGGTGCCACGAACACTTCTCTGTCCTCAAATGTGGTCCCTCCATTTCTGCTCAACTATGTTATACGAATGCCACGCTACTTATTGCCCTGGCGGTGTTGCAGCAGCTGGGGTGGAAGCGACAGACACCTGTTCTGGTGTGGGTTGCTCACCAGCTTGAGTCCACAAAAATTTCAGCGGCAGAGAGTTAGGACGCCGCAAAAGCGACGCTAGCGTTGCCCAATACTTTTGGCCGGAACTTGTAGGAACAACTGTCAGCATCGCAACGTCCGACAACATGACACGCCAGCTTTTGCGACGTCATTTGTTGACACTTTGGGACCACTTTTGATGCAAGGATGGGACAAGGCACCAAACGCACCAGCCGATGACATGCCGAGCCATTGCCCCGCATTAGCTGGGTCAAGTTTCGTGCACGCCGTATTTCTTGGAATATAAGTCGACCTTCTACTTCTGCGGAAATTGCTTACAAATAAGGGTCAACCTATATGTGTTGCCAGAGGACGTCAATTTATACTAATAGCGAGCGAGCTTTCCCACCCCATTTGGCTAACAGAGACGCTCCCCTGGGCAGGCTACTTCACCGAGCACGCTTGTGAGAAGCAGTAAAGCTCAATGCATGCGCCCCAGTACGAAGTGGGGATGCTTCACACAAGAGCACCGGTGCAACGCGGTGAAGTTCGACATGCATGCTAAGGCTTGGAGGCACACGTCTCTGGAAGTGGGACGACTATGGACAATGTGAAATAAATGTTTCTAGGAATTTCCTTCCCTTCCATCATGTTAAAAATAAAAGTCGACCCACATTTGAATACATTTCTGTCTTGTTCGGCGCGTTTTCCATTATAGGAACTGACCTGCATTTGCGACCCAACTTACATTCGAGTAAATTCAGTACCTCACGCACTGCACAAGGTACATCTCACATAATTCGATTGTCAGAGAGAAGAAGCAGGAATCCTTGCGTTTGAAACAGCCCAGTTTTTGTAAAACAACAGATGGCTGATCTTAAGCGCAAATACAAGTATCCTAACTCGCCAACTGAAGGGAAAATCATTGAAGCTACATGAGGAGCCAAATTTGTACTACCATACTTTCCGGCCTGCAGTCCGCACCTGGTGCTTAGTTGACATGAAAATCTTCTCATAGACGGCACATCTCGACAAATGTCTGTTGTTTTAGCTCGCAGAGAAGCCTATAATATACATAAATCATCATTAAAGGGACACTGACAGGGTATTTATGCTCGCCGAGGTTTTTAGTTGTACGTGACATATGAGAGCTCAACTACCCAGAACAGAATTTGCGGCTCGAAATTCGGTTTCTTTCCGCCCGAAAACCGCCGATCAAGAACTGGCCGGTTCGAGTCTCGCTCACTCTCTTTTTCGCGGTCACGGACCGTTTTCTAAGGTATCGATGCGACCACCAAATTTAATCAAAGTCGTGGGTCACTGAAGGCACACACTCAATATTAAAAATAGAAAAAAATATGAAACCCATTTTTTGCGGCTTCTAAAAAGCTGCAAATACGTTGATTGAAAAAAAAAGTTCCACAGACAACCGGAAACATTCTGTGCGTGCGTCGTTTCGCGTATCGTGGGACTCGCGGGGACGGCGATGGCAGCGGACGACGGGCGTGGGACCTCTATTTCAGAACTGTCGTTCGCGGTACCGGCGAATTTTGTCTGCCTTTAAAAGAGAAATTTGGGACTGGTCAAAAGAATTGGTATTCATCCCGTACGACACGCCCGACCACCAAGCTGATTTGCACGAAGACGTCGCCGAGCCGTCGCTCCCTTCTTGAGGTTGAAGACATCGCTCGCGCAAACGTCAAGCGCGACGTGTCTACTTCGAGTTGAATATGCACGCGTACGATTTCTTTACTAGGTGAGAATGTCGCCAATGCGTGGTGCATCCCGACTTCGACCCGGGAGTGCTTTTGCTAGAGGAAAATCGGCAGAAAACTTTCCAACTTACAGTTTATCGGCTGAAGTATTACTAAGGAAAGAGATACAGCAGTTTCGGTATGCCCCAGTAGCTCAGTGGGAAAGACGTCCCCTTCACACGCGGTAGGACCGGGTTCGATCCCCCGTTAAACGAATTTTTTTTTTTTTTTTTTTTTTTTCAAATATTTTTTGATATTTACATTTCTGTTTTTTTTTTTACAATTATTACTGAAGAAACAAACAAAAAAGAAATATAAGAAACAAATGTTGTAAACGGCACGTCGCTGAATTAAATGGTATGGGATTTCCTTTTTGACACCTGCGAACTCAATGTAATCACTTTCCACAAAATGCAAGGAGCATATAAATCAGGTAGCGTCCGCTTTCCGAGGTGCCCGTAAATGGTCTACAGGAATTGCAGCCAGCCATTGGTCCCGATCCCGTTGATCTTTCGGAAACTCTGTCGCACAATGCCACTTCTGTTTCGGACGCGGGACATGTGAGCCAGCTCTTCACGCAACATCTTGGGTGTATTCTTTTCGGAGCCGATCAAGATTCACCACGGGCACTCACTACTCATCTCCAACCCCTCAATATACAAAACAACTCATCTTGGAGTACAGAACAACGAGCGGAACATACATAACTGCAAAAGAATCCCACGGCGAGCAGTTCCCATACGCCGCATGTCGTCTGCTACCGGGAAGAAGAAGAGAAAAAAAAAAAAAAAAAAAACACACGGTCGGGTGTAGCCACGTGACTTCCGCCACTCACTCTCTTCTCTCCACTTCTCCGACCTCCGTCGGGTTTCGGTTTCGGTTTCGAGCAGTTGCGTCTTTTGGTTTTATTAAAAAAATACGCTACTCTGTTGCAAAATATTAATTGGGTAGTCCTCCGACACCATAATGAAGCGCCTGGCAAAAAATTAAAAAAAAATTTTGGGGGGTGTCAGTGTCCCTTTAACATAGTCTTTCATTCACAAAATTCGTCTCGTCATAATCAACAATATTGAAAAACGAAAATCCTGTATAGTCTGCACGCATAAGTAGATTGCCCAGCCTAAAATTTCAACTTTTAAACACATATAGTGTGCGAACTATAGCCCAGAAAATATGGTAATTCAGTTCTTGAGGTGAAAATAAAGCGCCATTCACACTGTTGCGACCAAGTACGACTGAGAGAGACCAGACCGGTTTTTAAGGGTTTTGTGACTTCTTAGGACTGGATGCGCTGCAGCGGAGCTAGTCCTAAGAGATCGCAAGAGGCTTAAAAACCGGTCTGGTCTCTCTCGGTCGCAAGAGTGTGAACGGGCCTTAAGGAACACTCCCCAGACACCTGCATTTGGGAGAGGAGGGGGAGAAGCTTGAGGGAACTCGGAAGAAACGGTTTAGAATTCCAGTCTCTTAATAATTGGCTTTTGCCTAATGTTGGCAAATTTGCCTAATTTTGGCTTTAATAATGGCTTTTGCCTAATTACCAAAATGAATATGAGATACCCTACAGCAGCAACATGTCACAATCACTGCTCTTTAAGTACAGAAAGAAAGAAAGAAAAAAAAAAAAGCTGTGTTACGTAGCACATTTCACAGATGTGATGTGAGCAAACTGACATATTTCACATTGTATGGAGCAAGAACACACTATCAAACATGGCAATTTTCCAAACGTGGCAATTTTCTTCCAAACTCTCCACCGTTGAAAATGATAAAGTTCTCTTGCAGCTCACCTTCAGAAATTCTTTCCAGTTTCTCGATGGTGGCCAGCAGTTCTTCATCACTCACATCCTTGAGAAACAGCTAGGCAAATAAGGCAAAAACCGGCGAACCGGGTTTACATAATGAACTTCAATTAGAAAAAAAAAAAACGTATATTAGAAAAGGTACTTGACGTATACATTAGGCTGGACGGTCCTCTTTTTTATATTTTATATAGGTGTTCCATAAAAAGAGAAAGCCGTCTACAACTCCCTGTAACACCGAATTAGAGCGCAGCTCTTGAGGAGGAGGAGGGAAGGGTACTGGGGGGGGGGTGAAGTGACCTGGGGGGGGGGTCACGTTACCTAGGGGGGCACGTGACGATGCCGATGTCATCTGTGACGTCACTGATGACGTCATCAGTGACGATGACGATGCGGACTCCGATGACGTCATCAGCGATGATGACGATGACGATGCGGATGTCGGTGACGTCATCAGTGACGTCACTGATGACGTCATCCGTGATGATGACGATGCCAATGCCGGTGACGTCATCAGTAACGTCACTGATGACGTCATCAGTGATGATGACGATGCGGATTCCGGTGAGGTCATCAGTGCCTTCACTGATGACGTCATCAGTGATGATGACGATGCGGATGCCGGTGACGTTATCAGTGACGATGACCTCATCGGGGAGGTCATGTGACCTCGGGGGGGGGGGTGTCACGTTACTTCGGGGAGGGGGGGTCGTCATGTGACCTCAAGGGGAGTCACGTGACTTTGGGTGTCACGTGACTTTGGGTGTCACGTAACCTTGTGGGCCACGTGACCCTAGAAGAGGGGTCACGTGACCTCGTGGTAATCTTGGGGATCACGTGACCTTGGGGTGACCTTGGTTACGCCGACGCCGCTCAAGCCGGGAACGGGCCCCTAAGAGCTGCGCTCTAAAAAAAATGAAAGCCGTTTGCAACTCCCTGTAGTGCCGGATTAGAGCACAGCTCTTGAGGAGGAGGAGGGGAAGGGTACTAAGGGATAGGATAGTAAGGTGCTGAGGGATAGGTGACTCCCTGAGGTCACGTGACCTCGGGGGGGAGGGGGGTGGAGGGGGGTTCACGTGACCTCAGTGGGGGGTCACACGACCTTAGGGGTGTAACCTTCATTAGAGTAACTCTCACGACGATCACAAGAGTTACCCTATAACCCTTGTGAGACTAACCCTTGTAACCCTTGTGAGAGTTATCCTCATAACCCTCACGAGGGTTACGAGGGTTACGCGCAATTATGCCAACCGCGACGGCGACACCAACGCCGTTCAAGCCGGAAACGGGCGCCTAAGAGCTGTGCTCTGAAACTCTGAGGTTAGTGACCGTTGGGGAACTGAAATAGCTATGCATCAGAGCTCACCTTGGTAGAGTTTTGGGAGCCTTCAGGTTTCGGGAGACCGGAGTTGATGTTCCTTACAAAGTATTCCTGCAATGAAAAGAGTCTCAGGTTGGTTACTCTTGGTAATCGACTTTAATATTAAACATTTGCTGCACCTGTAGAACAAGACGAAGAACTTACGTGAGCTTCCTTGGCTTTTGCGTTGCATTTTTTCAGGTGCTTACTCAGCAGTGCGGCCGAGCAAGTGCTACAGGGTTTCAACGATAAAAAAGTGTAAACATTGGCATTCGTTACATGCGGTAAAGGCTGGTTTACACATTCACGTTTCATTGTGATCGAGTACGCTTCAACCGCTTTTACCTGCTTACGACGACATAAATGCTGGCACCATCTATTGAGTAGCCCCAGCACACATGCGATTTTAATATATTTTTTCATTGTTTACGCATAGTTCTTTCACTGTAGGCTAGTAATTCTTCTGGCAACGTTACCTTATCCCATAGATTGTACATAGATGTGACCTCGCAAATACTGGAAAACGTTCAGTCCCGTTATAGGCAGATCTGAAGGGTCCCAGGTGTGCCCGTTAGATGGCGCTAGTGTGTTCTTTCGTCGCAAGCAGTCACAAACACTTGCACCGCAGTCGGTCGCACTCAAACGCCAATGTGTGAACCGGTCTCAATTCTGAAGCGAGATCTGAGCTTACTGTGTAGCGTCCAGAGGACAGGTTATGCGATCGTGACCGGTGCTCTGCGGGTGAAATCGTACGCGCGATCTTTGTTTTACTAAGTCTGGTACAGCAGAAACGGAAAAGCTTACGTTTTTCAGGTCGCACCTCAAGACGTGTTCGCCGCAATAGTCATGACCGGCCAGCGCTCGCATCCTGCATCGTCGACCCTTCTTTGGCACGACAAAAATGCACCGATCGTCACACATCTTGGGAATTTAAAGTGACAAACTGGATCGGCACATGACCTGTAACATTCGAGGGTTCATTGAACGATCGTACGAACCAAGGCACTAAGGGCATGCAATGCACGAAGCGCGAACACTTCAAAACCACGAAAAACACGGCACAAGTGATGATCTCGGGGAACATAGAAAGTACTTCATCAGTGCACACCTCAAGTAGAGCGCAGGACTCGACGCACAACATTCACACAACACAACACACAACTGAAACCGTGATTGCCGTGATCGCATGAGAATGAAACCATGAAACCATGAATGGCATGAAACTACGACAACCACAACAACCACGCTGAAAAACGAAATGCCAGGAGCGCCGCCAACGCCGCAGGCTTGCCAAGTTTGAAAAAAAAATAGAATATTTTGTTTTCGAAAACTTTTCTGTTTAACGATGTATACTTTCTTATACTTAAGTATGCTTTATTAAATATTATTTGCAAAACAAAATGTGTCACGTTTCTTGCACGTTTCAAACATTTAACTCAATGACGCACAAAAGCTTGAAACGTTGCTAAGTTTAGCGACGTTTTAAGGCCTCCCTGGCCACCTTGGCTGCTTTGGCTCCCAAATGGCACCCGCACGAGCACTGTGATGATTATCGTCGGTTGGACATGTGCGAAGACAATGCTGGGGAAATAATCGAAGGGATTGGCAACGAAGTCTTGTTCGCCGTGCCAGCGATCCTGGCAGCCATCGTCGGACTCCTGGGCTTCGTAGGGTACGCCGGTTCGTCAATGTCGTGCGCGCTCAGGCGTGACCTCCGCTGGCTTCTTTTTTAATCTACGCCTACAGTCAGCTGTCCTTCTCGATACCTAGTCCGTGACACGCAGCCTGCGAAAGCTCTCTTTTTATATATATAAATTTCTAATTTGATTTTAATTGGCTTTCGAACGATACTGTCAAGTTGTAGGTGTGTGGCTTCCAAGAAGCGCTGTTGTGTTGTAAGCGGACATGTCGCAACTTTCTTGGAAGCGACAAGCTCTCGTTAAAGACCGTGGCTCATTGCGAATATACGTCAGAAACTTTAATCTTCACCGTTAATCGAATACCCAAAATGAACAATCAACTAGCGCAACTCACGATACGCGGTTAGGTCAACCGTCGCTGTGTAAACCGACAAAGTTTGAGCTGATGCAACTGTGTATGGAAGATCAACTTCACGTCTGTCGCGGATGTAAATCAAATTAGGACCTGATACTTTACTTCTATTTCGTTGATTCCTATTTATGCTGGGGGCGCGGGGTTGTCGCTCAAAAACACCTTTGAACTTGGTAGTGTGTGTGGTTATTAGAAGGCGATCGATTTCAAGATATACTTCCGGCGATCGGAAACCTTCCGCGTCATCAGCTGCGTTTCGCTGTATCTCGGGTTGTTTGCTTGCTTACATAACTCGGAGGTATTTTGGGCGCTGGAAAGCGTCACGGGGAACTTGCGTTGCTAGTGAGCAAACGCCATGGTTGCGTCAACAAGGAAGTTATCGCAAGTGCCGGTTGCATGAGTGAGACAATTAGTTGCTCGAAAAGACAAAGGAAGAGCAATTTTGCAGGCTTGGTTCCTTCTATCGCTCTCCTTTATTTTTTTTTTTTTTCCCCGCTCGTTCCCTCTTCGACTGCTGGAATCTAACCCAGTTCCTGGGTTTGGAACTGCTACACCGTGTTAAGAGTTCTCTGATCTGGATAAAAAAAAATTTAAAAAAAACCTAAGACAGCAAAAAACCAAGTCATAAAGAAGTGGTTTCGAGATGGTCCGAGTCATTAGTGTTGAGGTGCAGGCGACCAATGTCTGAAATATCCAAATTCGGGATACTAACCTACATGAGATGTGCGGGATAGTGCACTTTTCAATTTTAAATGAAATAGTATTAGTCTGGTAGCAGTGGACAAATAGATAACAGAGGCCGTACCCTTCGAATCGGGCGGCATCTTGCGCCACCTAGCCTAGAGTCACATTCACACTGCTCGTGCATCGTACAAAAGACACAGCGTTTGCTACAGACATAATAGAATTACCTGTGGAAATGCCTCAAGCACCTTCAAAGCTTTTGATTGCTTCATAGGTTCATATCTGTGTTTCTAACATGTCTGGAGACATTTTGTTTCACCAGCATGACTGAGTCCACAGACAATCTTTTGTATGATGCATTAGCAATGTGACCGCAGCATCAGAGATTCCTCTTATTGCTGGAGCGACCTATTATACCCTGCTGCAGGAGGACGAGCTTCTCTCGTAAAGCCCCCACTCCTTCCACTTCAGTAGAGCAAAACGCTCTATTAAAGTAGAGGGCTTTGCAGAAGTTCTTGTCCGGCGTTTCTCATTGCAGTATGTTAGCACTGGACAGGTAGATGGTGGGCACCCTTCGAATCGGGCAGCAACTTGCGCCACCTAGCCCGAGATCTGGCACGTGGCTCGAGCGACCCGCTAACAGGAAACAGTTTGGCGCGTGCAGATGGCAGCAGCTGCGGCAGCTCTCGTCGGCCCGAGCGGCCGAGCATTTGTGGACGCGGCGGCCGGACCCCACGACTGATCGGCTGGACAATGGTACGGCCGGGCACCCGGACGGCAACAGGATGCAGTCGCCACGCTACGGTGCCGACGCGCAGTGCCCCATCTGCCTCACTGAGCCTCGCTACCCCGTCGAGACAAACTGCGGACACCTCTTCTGCGGTGAGTGGGGCCCTTTGCTTCCCAGTCATGGTCCGTGCCTCGGTCGTCTCCGTGTTGAAACCCGGGACCCAACGGAGCCACGCTTTGCTCCGGGAAAGCAAAATACTCTCAAGTCTGATTTCGTTACCCACTCTTGCGACTACGGAGATCGGATGAAACTCGGAGAGACTAAAAATGAGCTTGAACCAACTCTGGTACTTGGTAAAGTCTCTAGAGATGGCAATGACTCCAACCAGGCTAGTTTTTTAGATTTTGGCCATCACAACTGTCGTGTTTTAACAGAATTTCAAAGCTTGGGAGCTACGCGTTCTTGTTCACGACGAGTTGTAGCTGTTTTGAGTAATGCTGCGACTAGCGTCACTAGAACCGATCCCTCAAATATGACTCGGATCTGGCGACGTGCCCATCCAACATTGACCCGGCGTTTCCAGTGAATGTTTAAACTTCCCGACTTCCTTATAACAAACTTTGTTATAACGTGGTCGGTTAAAACGAAATAGCGGCAACGGCAAAGCGCTCTTGATTTCCCATTCACGTTTGCGCTTTTTCTGTGTAATTGTATCGGTTTTTAGCGAAGGAAATTGAGTGGCTCCTGCGGTGAAGAGAAATTTTGTGACAATTTAAAAGAAAATAATCAAATTCGGACAGTTCGTAAATTAACAGACTGCCGCACTTTGCTACCGTGGCCGAGCAGCCACCCACAACGGGCCGCAGACGTGCGGCAAAGGCTGCCGGCGGCAGCCTCTGCATCGTCGTCTGCTCCCCGCTCCTTATCTGGGAAGCGGCTTTTCCTCATCGCACGCACAGAAGCCATTGCGGCGTGCCGACAGGGGCGTTCGGAGCGCTAGCGACAACATTTTGATGGTGATCATAGAGAAAACCTAGATTTCAGGGAGCAAGTAACCCCAACCATGGAGAGCATTTGCAGTTTAATAGCGGATGCCTTCTGGGCAGATTGGCGCAAGTGCGCCTAGCATTTGGTTGTCTCGTGGCCAGCGTGGCGAGGAAACCGGGCGGAGAGGCAGACATGTTGCAGATGGTGAACGCTTCTGACTCCTTGCAGGCTACAGCTTGTTTTGCAAATACGGCCCACAAACCACGTGACCCCGCTCAAGCAGTTGCCCCCCCTCTGAAATTTAGGTTCTCTATACCGACGAAACACGAATTTGAGCCCTTGAGCGCCAAACTCGGTGCCGTGCATGCTTCTTAGTTTGCTTTATGTTCTGTGTCGGTATCACTAGGCTCCATTTCACCTTATGTCGTACCGCAGCGAAGGCTAGAAGGGCGAGCTCATAGCGTTGGCAGCCGCCCTTACTGCACGAGAGCTTGTGCCGCCGAAATCTGCCCCAGAGCAAGCAGCTCGTGCTTGTAGCCTTTCCTGCGGTACGACATAAGGTGAAACAGGGTATGGTCGGTGTGGTCGCTCTCTGCGCAAAAGTCTAGCTTCAGCGAAGCGAAACAAAATTGGAGAGGGTGCGCGTGCCCTCTCCCATTTTGAGCGCAGACTAAAGCTGCACACGTGCTCTGCTTCTTCTCCTCGAAAAGGCCAAGAAAAATTGTCCCCGAGTATAGATACAGAGATCTTGCGATAGATGTTTTCCTGTTCTTCGTATGTCAAAGTGTAGCCAGCAATATGGTCTCGTCAGAACCAACGATGTCTGCAAGTATGCCTCGCCATTCCGACGCAGCCGAAATGCGAGGGACCTTTCCCTCTAGATTATTACATTAACTCTATACAGATGGAGTACAAGCTCTGTTTTTCTGTGATTGACTAGATGTACATAATTTAATTTTTTTTTTTCTTTTTTTGCTTTATGCAGCAAACTGCCTGGTGCTGTACTGGCGCCATGGAAACTGGAGGGGTGCTGTTCGGTGTCCTGTTTGCAGGCAACAGGTAGGATCCCTGTTCATCTCCCTTGCTTCTTTGTCTGCGTGCAGCAACCTGTAGTCGGTGACAGGTTAATAATTCAGGGGGAGGGAAAGGAGGGCTGGCGAGGAGGAAGCAGATGGATTGCTGGAGATGAGACGAGGAAACATCCTCCTCTCTTCACCATCCCACCTGCTTCCTCCTGCCCAGCCTTCTTTTCTTTTGCCCTTAACTTTTAACTGTCACAAACTATGGAAAAGTGTAGTAATTAAAATAAGCATGGTGATCTGTTGGAGCCTTACACAACCATACCCGCAAAGTTTTACAATTTTATTGTAAAGGGCCCACTTTTTAGCTCTTTCTTACGGTTATCGTATTGACAACAATATTCATACAATTTTTCTGATCCCGTGTAAAAAAAAAAAAAATACTAAATTGTTTTTGCTCGGGCTGCATCTGGCCAGTTTACAATTTGGCGTTGGCAACACTGATACATTGACTTGTATGCTAGGGGGCGCAAGCTACCGCTCATTATAAGGGGTATAGCCGCTAACATTCGTCCATCCATCCAAATCCAATATACTTTCTGTTTAGGAAATCTCCTTTGTAGTGGCAACTTTGGTTGTGGCGCACGTCGTGCATTGTGTTACCGGAACTTTTGCGCATGATATCTTGAAATCACCTTTCCTACAAGATGTCGGGGAAAAAAATTGTTCAAGTGGTTATTCCCAGCTATTCGACCGACTTTCCATTTATCAAAACATTATGCAAGGGTGAAAGGTATGCATTTCCTGTGCCACCGCAATGTCATCATTTCGCACGCTGGTTGCTGGGACATTCTGTGCCATGTCAGTATACGAAAAAGCACGAGGACTCTGCAAAACTAGTTGCAACCAACGAGAAACTGGGAGAGTACTTTGGTCGATCAACAGCTCACAACACCACTCATGCAGAATGCCTTTTCACGACATTTTTGATTGAACACTACGTGCCGTTCACGGCGGGCGATCATGTCGGAGACCTCTTTTGGAAATTGTTCCCAGGCTTAAAGGAAGCTACTGTAGTCAGCTACAGGTTAAGAAAGGTTTTCGAGGGAAAGGAAGGCTGAGGAGGAGGAAGCAGACGGAATGCTGAAGGGAGGAGGAGGTCTTCTTCTCTCTTCTCCAGCATTCCGTTTGCTTCCTCCTCCCCAGGCCTCCTTTCCCTCAAATACTTTTCTTAACCTGCAACTGACTATAGCTGCGCTTGTGCTCGAACCAAGACAGCTGCGACAGTGAAGGAAATAGCTGAAAAAGAGATTGGCGATGTTGTTAGTAGTTTAAGGTGCGTGCCGTTCTTGGTCGCGACTGAAAGGAGCAATGACGTTGGCAGCGATGCCAAGCTCTATCCCACCGTAGTCACTTTTTCTGACAGGATGATATGCACTGTGCTTCTCGTGATGCCTGCTCTTGAACGCGACTCCATGGGACGAAACATTGGTGCGCTTGCTGTCGAGACATTAGAGAGCAGGAACCTTCATTTCCAGAACTGTGTCGGCAGGGTGCGCGATAACGCACCAGACATGATGGGAGCCAAGAACGGCGTTGCTGCTGTTCTCAAGGAGAATCACAAGAACATTGCCGTCATTGGATGTTGCTTGCATTTAATCAATCCGGCGGCACAGAAAGGCTCAGCATGCCTCCCAGTAAGTGTAGATGAGGCACTAGTTGATGTTTACTACTTCCTCGAAAAGAGTTCTTTAAGGAAGGACAAGCAGAAATCTTTCCAGTCTCTCCATGATGGTGAGTCCAAGAAAATTTTGAGGCACGTCAGTACTAGGTGGCTGTCTCCCGGCAAGAGCCTAAAACGGCTTCTGGAGCAGTGGCAGCCACTGCTTAGCTTCTTCCATAGTGAGGCAAGGTCATCTAGCCAGGTCTTGAAGCTACCAAGCAAACTAAGGGAACTCGAGGCAGGCTCTAAGAAAGCTACAAAGAAAAGAGAGAGTGCTCATCAAAGCAAGAGACCAAGAATGGACACTTGTGTTCCTCCGACGTATATGGCTTCTTCTCCGAGAATCCAAAAGCGTCAAGACGACAAGGTCTTGAACAGGGAACAAAGACTGTTTATGTTACTTTCGTCGAATGTCAACAAGGTGTATTGCCACTTCTTGCTTTCAGTCATTCCAGTTTGAAAAGGCAAACTTGCTCCTGCAGTCTGGGGCCCTTAGATACATTTGCTCCGGGAGATCCTTCACAACCTGCTTAGGGACCTGATGTTGCGCTTTGACAAACCGTCAGTGATCAAAGGAACTGATGTGCTGACAGACATTGACTACAAGTCTTTTGACAACCAAAGAGGTAATGAAGACACGGTACTTGGCAGCCAGAGAGCGCGGAGCTTGCAAAACTCGAACTAGGAAGCCAGGCAAGAGGTTTGTGCACGAATCACAATTTATTTATTTATTTATTTATTTATAGAGTACCTACATCTCCCAGAGGGCATTACAGTAGGGGGGTTAAAATACATAAAAGATGGTTGCATCACACTTGTTAAACGCAAGTAAAACATAGTGCTTGAAAGCACCAATACACAAAAAAATGCAAAAAACATCAAAGATCTGTTGCAAGAAAAAAGGAATACAAGCAGCAAGCACATTACTAGCAGAAAACACGATACAAGTATAACTAATAAACACAATACAGGATATTGAACACTGAGGGAGTTTTATAGGTCCAATAGGAGAGAAGAAAAGCTGGCATCTGAGGTTTCTGTCACTACAAGTTCAGGAAGGGCATTCCACTCATGAATGCTCTTTGGAAAAAAGGAATGTTTAACCCTTTCATGGTTACATTTTTTGTCCAAAGATGCGCCCCCGTGGTCGGGTTTTTTTACTCGATGCGATAGCAAAGAGTATACACTAGTTTATTGTCGCATAAAAAAATATAAGACTTAAAATAAATAGTACACACGCTTCAAAACATCTGCGGCACACTCGCTGGAGGCTGAACAAAACAAAAAAGACTAAAACTTCCACGCGCCCGCTTCTGAGACAGTCTAGCAGACGGTGCGGCTGTGTGTCAGACTCCAGACTCCGAACCGAGCTGGTTTCCAGTTGTTCGTGGGATGTCGAGCTGTCATCCGACTCAGAGTCCGAGAAGGGTTCAAAGTCCCCGAAGAGCCATCGCTCCAATCTCCACTACGCTACCCCCGAGCAGCCAGCACGGGCGGCCATCTCAAAAGTATCACTTGCACAGAGCGTCCAGTTTCGCAATTTCAAAAAGCCGCGCCAAAACAAACACGACCGGAGTTATATGGTCATAGTTCCCTACAACACCACCAGATGGCAGCACGTCCCCGCAAACGCGCCCGTTCAAGAAGAGGCGCGAATTTTTGAATGAGCGGTCGCGGACGTACCGGTACGTCAGCAACCATGCGGGACGCTCCCGCGGTGACGTACCGGTACGTCAGTGACCCTGAAAGGGTTAAGCAGTTCTGTTCTACATCTAATTTCTTTTATTTTAAGCGAATGATCTACCCTTGAGGAAATGTAATCAGGACTATGGAGATACTTATCCTTGTTAATGCGTGTGTTCTGTAGGAAAATACTTCTAAAAAGTTTTAATCGCAAGCACTTTCGTCGTGAAGCCAGCAAGTGCCAGTTAAGTTGCTCTTTAAGTTTGGTGACGCTTGACCGAAAGGCGTAGGTATTTGTAACGAAGCGCGAAGCTCTATTTTGTACGCGTTCAATTTTTGAGGACAAGTTGAGGAAATGAGGGTCCCACACTGAACACGCATACTCTAAGATAGGCCTAATGTTAGTAGTGTATAGCAAAGCTTTTATATCTTCAGGAGCCATTTTAAAATTCCTTTTTATAAAGTTTAGGACACGGTTCGCCTTAAGTGTTACTGTGTCCACGTGTTTGGCCCAGGAAAGAGTGCTGCTAAAATAGACCCCTAAATACTTTACCTCCGTAACCTCTTTAAGGTCAGTGCCGTTCAGATTGTACCTTGATAGAAAAGGGTTGCGTTTTTTGGTAAACCGAATATAATTGCATTTATTAATGTTTAGGCACATTCCCCACCTGTTACACCACGCCGCCACTGTTTCAAAGTCAGTCTGGAGTAAGTAGGAATGATCGTCGTTGCAAACTTGCCGGTAGATAACGCAATCATCCGCGTATAAACGAATACTAGATGTTAAGTTTTGAGGAACGTCATTAATATAAATTAAAAAGAGAAGAGGTCCAAGTACGCTCCCCTGGGGAACTCCTGACGTAACCCCTGCGTACGGGGATTTAACACCATTGACAACTACACACTGAGTACGATCAGTTAAATAATCTTTCAGCCACTTGATAAGATAACCAGGTAACCCCAAGGATGACAATTTGTGCATAAGAAGGGAGTGGGGCACTTTGTCAAAAGCTTTTTGGAAGTCTAAAAGCAAGCAGTCAGTTTGTATATTTTTATCGAATGAGAGAGAAATATCATGGACAAATTCAATCAACTGCGTAGAGCACGACAGACCCGAGCGAAAACCATGCTGCTGCGGGGTAAAATAATTATTTAACTCTAGATGAGATACAATATTTGAGTATACAGTGTAGACCGCATATAACGTATGTCGCGGGAGTCGCGAAAATCCGCACTATAAGCGGTACCGCACTATAACCAAAACATCAATTTTTCAGGTCAAAATACATGCCATCAGACAACTTTGTAAAATAATTTATTTTATGTTAGATGAAAAATAAAGCTCAGTTTGAGGAAAGTCTTTATTTCACCAGACTAGTACACTTCTCTCTCAAGTGTGTCACACATTTTGAAATAAATGAGCGGCTTTTGCCTGGCGCAGCCTCTTAGCGGCGTCGCGGGTTGCGGACGGATGTTGCGAGCGTTCAGGATTGCTAACCCTAATCACTTTTCTCCGGAGATGAAAACGCGTGAAAATTCGCATCCTTCATACGGTACGCGCCAGTAATACCTTGCACTTGAGCACACGCATGAAATGCGCCAAAAAAGAAATCCGGGCGATGTTCGAGGACACAAATGCTTAGAAATCACCACTGTAGTCGAAGCAAACAAACACGACGACACGGGCGTTTCTGCCGACTTGAGAGCGCCGCCACGACATCGCCGCTCGAGTAGGTGGATCTTAATTCTCTTCTAATACGTGCCGGGTTATCATAGCGACACACGACGAAAATTCACAGTCAAGGATAGCGCTTTTACGCGGAACGATGAGATGAACGCCGTCTACGACGACGATCACAACGTTGATCACAACCGACGCCTTGTTCGCGGATAGAAGCAGCCGGCCCGCGACGGGCACACGGGCATGCAACGCGCGCGAACACTTCTCCTGTCGTTGCGGTTGTTGGTTTCCAACGCAGTGGAGGGACGCACGCATGTGAACGACACGTGCGTGCGTACCTCCGTCGCTAGGGCAACTGAAGCCTCTCTCTTCGCTTCTCCCGCTTCTTCGAGCACCCTCCTTGCCCCGCGAGTGCCGCTTGCGCAACGCTTGCGGCTCGCGCCGTCAGCGCCGTTATCTAGTGTCGCACAGGCAAGCGTGCTCGCTGCTCCGGTCGTCGGCGCGGTCGGCGGGCTGTGCCAGAAACCGCACCATAACCGGTATTTCCCGTCGCGCGCCTGCGTTTTAAGCGGTATGTAATTACATGGAGTTCTATGGGAGGCGAACCGGTGGTTTAAAAAAACCGCGTTATACCCGGTCCTGCACTATAAGCGGTTACGTTGTAAGTGGTCTATACTGTATGATGTGTTCTAGCAGTTTGGAACAAACACTAGTCAGCGATATTGGCCTGTAATTAGATACCTCGCGTTTAAGACCTGCCTTATGGACGGGTGCAATATTAGCAGTCTTCCAATCCGACGGCAGCTTGCTCGAGAAAAGCGATTTGTTAAACAATATAACTAGGAAGGACGTAATCGCGGTAGCACACGATTTTAACACGTGGTTAAGGATTCCATCGGGTCCTGTGGCTGAATGAGGTTTTAAATTACAAAGAAGTTTAAGTACACCATTATCCTCAATTACAAATTCTGGCATCCCATTAAGTTCTGACATAGATGGGGCCAATTCGTCTGTCTCTGCTGGACTAGAAAAAACAGACTGAAAAAAATTATTGAAGCAAACCGCTCTCTCTAAGTCGTCCGAAGTCAATTCATTGTTCTGAAGTATTGGAAGTTATTACCCGTTCTTTTCACAATTTTCCATAATTCTTTTGGGTTGTTAAGCAACCTGGGACCCAGGGTAGAGAAGAAATGCAGTTTAGCTTCCTTAACCTCTTTTTTAAAGGCGTAATCGAGGCATTTTAGTTCACTTTTCGTTGCCGGGTTTTTTGTTTTTTTATACTTAAGAAACAGACGTCGTTTCTTATTTAGGAGGCAACGCAAGCTTTTGTTTATCCATGGTTTATCGTGTCTACGCCTTCCTGATAACATTTTACAGGGAACATATTTATCGATAAGAGCCATAAGTACACTTTTAAACAACAACCACAAATCTTCAATGTCAAGTGACGTACATGAGCATGAACAAGATTCTTTGTAAGGACAAGCGACCACATCATTTTGAAGTTTCGTCTGAAGTCCGAGATTTTGAAAAGTGCGGAGCTGGCCAGGCTTTCCACCATTGAACAAGCCAGGTTTGCTGACGTCAAATTCTTCATCGACCACTTCCCAGTTCTCTTGACAGTTGCAGAAGAGCAAAGTATGGAGTCTGCCCTGGATGATGTTCAGGCTCAGTTCAGCCACCTACAGGTGGAAGATCTTCCTGCTGAAATAACTATGCAGGACTGATGAACAGTGGGGTGCAATCTCTAATCTTCAAGACATGAATGGGGATGGCATCTTTAACTATGCTAAGCTTTCGAAAGTGATGCTGGGAATCTTGACGGTCCCACATAGCATCGCAGAGTGCGAAAGAGTTTTCAGCGAAGTGAAGAAGGCACGCATGCAGTTCCGCTCCTCCGTGTCAAAAAACTCTTGAACAGTTATTAGTAGTGAGATGCAGCCAGTTTGGGAAGGACTTCTTGAGAAAAGCAAAAACTGCAACTTTTTCAGTATTGGCCCAACCTTCTACTTCTAAAGAATAAGACATTTCGTGCAATGTATGATGTGTTTCTGCCCTACTTGAGGCTTTTCTTGCCTAAACCAAGTTTTGAAGGATAAAACAGTTTTTGTATTTCTTCACACAATTGTAGTGCTTTTTAGACGCCCCTGTAGTAGTATTTTCAGCATTGTAGGGTTGGCAGGTCTGCACAACAACCAGGAATTTAGAACAATCGCCACCACACCAAGCGTGCCCGCTGATCTCTCCAGGTGAAGCTATATTTGCCTTGTTCAGAATTTGCCAGTCTAATGGTGGTATGCTGTTGCCTGTTTTAACTTTTTGTCAACAAACTTCGCTTTCACAAAAGCGATTGAAAATCGGTGTTCTAAAAGGGGAACTCTGCTCAATTCCGAACATTTCGGGATTACGAGTGATTTCACATTAAAAAGCACAGATAAAAGGTGCTACATCATTTGCTTCGCGTAAAAAGAGATATATGTTCTGTGAAATCTTTCTATAGACAAAAGGTGAAACCGAAACTTTGGCTCGTTGGGCAACATTGGCCTCGGGCCGCCAAAAACGTGGTTACCACGCGGTGACAACGGTCACATGATCCTTTATGCGATGACGGACGGTATCTGGGCAGGCCACCCTTGGGGCAGGGGTGTCCAAGGTGCAAGTATCGCTTGCACCTTAGTCTTTACTACGTTTTGGTGTAATATGAAATCTGCACAACTGTGACATCCCTCTGCGCTTGTAGTGTGAACGAAACTCCGAAAGTCAGTACTCGCAAACGGTGAGACGACGACAACGGGACGGCTCCTAAGCTGAGAAGCGCGCTGCGCAGGCCTGTTATGCCAATCTCGTGGATACCGCTGAGTGCCGAGAGGATATGCTGCTGATGCCACCCGTTGGAAGAGTAAACACAAACAATAAGTAGCAACGTTGATGTCGTTTACCTCAACGTTGGCTACGCCAACACCGTAGCATTGATTGCACCTCAATTCGCCTGCTAGAGTTAGCGGATGTCAAGAAGTTCGTTGACCGTTTAAGAAATGTTTAAACAGGACTAGCTCGTAATATTTGGCGTGTGGTCCTTCTACATGTTACTCAAGAGGACTGCATTGCTTTTTCAAAACAACAAAAATGATGTGAAGTTGCCCTTTAACGGTCAAGTTTTTGTTTTCTCGGAAAACGTTTCCTGGTGGTCAGATTTCGTTTCCAAGGTGTAGTATAAACGAAGGGTCAATGCGAAGGTTTTCTCTTAATTATCTAGAGGGAGTATGTACAGTGCTTGCAATCAGTTCAGGTTTAGAAGCCTCAAATGGAAATATTGAAGGCGAAAGGTTGTCATCTTTCTCGCATTCGGTTTCAAATTCCGAACCGGAGGTACTTTACGGAGCTTCTCCTTCGGATGGTAAGCTCTCGTTCCCAGAGTTCAATTCTGAGAAGCGTCAAAGGTTTGAGTCGGAAGAGTTAGTGCTCCAGTCGCCACTACCGCCAGAGCAGCCGACAGGCGAAGTGACCATCTCGTGCTTATCAAGCGTGAGGAGCATCCGACTTCAAAATTATAAAAAGCCCCAGCAAAGCAAAACACCGTGTAACATATCAATTATAGTTTGCCAAAGACACAATATATTTATATATATATATATATATATATATATATATATATATATATATATAGCAACTCCTCGCGCAGTGCACGCGTTTTCACGTCTGGAAGTGAACTTTCTGACAACCGTCAAAGGGTTCACTTGTAAAAAAACAAATTCTTTAACACCATTTAATTACGGGAAGAACACCAATTTGGCGACACTACGTCGATGTGCAAGACAATAAACATTTGTTGTAGTTTTCTTTCGACCATCAAGGGTTCCTACATTCGTTCAGCTATGCACTCTTGTCGAACGAGGCCCTGCCGTTTTACAATACCCCATTTCATTGGAGGGCACACTAGTCTGTCAAAGTGGCTTAAGGAAAGATGTGGCAGGTGTGCTCTTCTCCGTGCGCAGGTGTCTGTGATGTTACGGTGCTTCCAAGAACAGCAGGTGAACGAAGATGCGGACGTACAGCGGGAAGAGCGCTCGCGTCTCCTCAGGGACATCAACGACTACAACCGCCGGTTTTCCGGCGAGCCCAGGCCGGTTAGTGTTGCCCCCCCTTTGTTCTCTCGTCGAGATAACAGAACGGCGACGGAAGAGTTTCGGTGCTTTCAGAAATTGAGCGATGTGAAGGGGCAATGAATCGCCAAATTAATAGCTTCTCGAAAGGGTGCGTTGCGACATATTTTCTGAACCATGGCTAGCTACAGAATTGAAGGACAAGTTACATTTCTAAATGTACGCTACGCGATACAGCACAATCACAGCATTGATATTTTTTTTACATTTTGCTAGGTGTAGTAGAGCACAAAATTTCACCGCTCTGATTGGAGCCTTAGATAGGCCCTTTCTACCACACAAGTAGTTTTGATACTGTAATTCAGTTAAAGAAAAAACACACACACAAAAAAAAAAAAAAAAAAGCGATCGCTTGTGTGTTGGTGTTAATAGTGTCATGCTGTTGTACATGCGTAGAACAGTGGCTTTCAAAAAGGGATCCACGAAGCCTTTGAGGCCCCTGAAGTTCTTGGCTGATGTACAGGCCACCGGGTCTAATCACGAGCCTCCTAGAAACCGCGTGTTGTATGTATCGGTGCGCCAAGACTCGTACGGAGGCGAGTTTTTTGTCTCTTTATCGGGCCCACGCAGCACTACTGAAGGGATTCTGGAAGCGAAGTGAACCCGGGATTAAAACCAGCGACAGTTAAGAAATAAAGACGAGTCGGATTGAGTGTTCGGCACGGGAGCGTATGTACGGTCCCATGTCGAATCCAGGGTCCGACACGGATTGAATCGGATTATGGGTAAGGCAAAACTACTTTATGTCAGTGTTGCATGCACGCCCTCCAACTTCTCCAAACAGTCGACATGTTTACTAAATATGGGCACGAATGTTTATGAAACTAAATACTACGTGCCTTCACTTCACGAGTATAAAATAGGACACTGTCATAACAGAGAACCATTTGCGCAAGATTAGTGCTCTTCATACTCTGCGTATCGGAATTTCTCTCGCACACTCTTTTGCAACGTGGATAAAAGCTTTAATGAGGTAATGCTCCGCTCCCCAGCCTTCGGGCTCTAGTCCATCATTAGGAGAGACGGTAAGGCTGTCCTACAAAGCGAAATGGGCGAAACCATGTGCACCAAGTGTGCAAGGTCAAATATTCTCCATTTCCAAGCGTCATAGTTGCTTCAAACTTTAGTCATTGTAATCGTCCAATAACCTCCAGTCAGTGAATGGCGTCCCCCCCCCCATCCCATCCCATCCCATCACTTTTGCCGATCAAGGATTGGTCCCCGAAGCGTCAGTGGTTGAGAACCACTGGCCTAGAAAGTTACCTCTAGTTAGCGTTTCGTTTTAATGTGCAACCGACTATGTACTACCTCGTCTTTTGCTCATCTTACACAAATCTTGTCCCAACATGTAACTTGTTAGGTGCGGGCACGCTGGAGAAAGTACTTGTGTGTTTCGCACATTTGTTCGTACCATTTTGCGAGCTACGACTCTGTAGGAATGTCTAGATGTTAAAGGCCTGATCACACTTGCACCCCCAGCGCTGTTCGACAGTGCTGCAGCGGTGCCAAGTTACATCGTTATTTTGCGCCACCGTTTATGCGTCAACTTTTAGTCGGTTCTTTGCCGCAATGTATGAAAGAGTGCCAAGATGCACAGGTTTCGATATATACTGCCCTACTCAACGAGAAAATGAGGCCAAAAAGACGTGTCAACCTCCATTTCCACATTTGCAGTGGCTGGACCACCTCCGTGACCTGCCCACCCTGCTGCGCCACGCCGGGTCAGAGTTCTTCTCCGTGGGCGGGATCATGTACATGTTCCGGCTGCGCATCGTGCTCTGCTTCGTGGCCGCCGTCATGTACCTCATCTCCCCGCTCGACATGATCCCGGAAGCCATCTTCGGCATCCTGGGACTGCTCGACGACGTCTTTGTCGTGCTCCTCCTCGCCATCTACGTCACCGTCATTTACCGGCGATTCCTGGCAACCCGCTGGCAAGAGGAGACCACCTGACCCCTCCCATTCCCCCGCTTTCCCCAAAGTGGTCTCTCCGGAACGAGTGTCGACGTTTCGCCCCTTCCTCGAAAGCCGGCTGTGATCAAGCGAGAGACTGCTACCGGTGTTGCGGCCGGAGAGCTGCAATCTGTGTGCGGTACAAGAGCGACTGTCTTCTCGCGTGCTTGGTTCCCGAGCTAGGCATACCAAAGACTAGGAGCGGAATGAGTAGCCCCCGAAAAGTCTGGGATGTGCGGCGTTTTGGCTGTCTTCCTTCTGGCAGGAACCTACGGTCATCCGAGGTGCTTGGGCAGCAAGATCGCGTTGTCGGTGAAGCGACTGAAGTGCCGTCCGCCGCTCCCATAAATGTGGCATTTCCTGCTAGGTTCGTCGTTTGTATGGAGGTGCAAATCCTCCGATCAGTTTTGGTTTCGTGTGTGGTACCGGTTGTTTCATCTTGGGAACTAGTAAACGACAGACCCCATTGAATTTTTGTGAACTACACGAGTGTTCTACGCAATGCAAACGGCATGGCTTCTGCCTTGCGAGTGCGGAGATTAGAGAGGTTTGACTGTATGTTCAGTGAAAACTGGCTCAGCTCAAAGAGCAGCCGAGTAAGGGATCTGTGCCGCGCAAACGTTTAACAGCACTTCACCCTGGGAATTGAAATTATATAGAGCTACAGTGCATTCCACTTAAAACGATAATGAGACCACTTCAAAATGCAGTCGTTATAACAAATTATCCTACCTGGACCAGAAACCGATCGTTAAGTGGATTGCACTGTAGCATAAACACTGCTGATGTAATCCAACTACCAAGATATTAATACAGCTTGACCTTTGGAGGACACGACTAGCCAGCGGTCGTTATACCTGCAAGCCAAGTTCTTTCAGTGGACGTTTTTCCAACAACACTTCAAAGGACATCCGTCTGAGTGAAACAGATTCGAGCGCAGTTCGAGGGTCACGAAGACCCATTCTGGACGTCGCTAGTGAGCCAACCTTCCTCAAGACAAAAATGTGATAGACCACAAGCGTCCAGCGAGCGTGCGTCGCAACTCGCAGACCCTTGCCGTCCAGCATACCTTGCACAAACTTCGTTGCGGAGACTACAAGTGAACAAGCAGAAAACATTCTTTAATTCACGTGACGGCGACATGCAAAAGCTTCTAAAAGAGGCCAGGGGGCCCAGAACAGGGGGTGCCCATCGATCGAACACACAATAAAGCCTTCCATCCTGAAGAGGCTTCCCCTCTTGTTCAAACGAGTGTCGCTGTCTTCTTTGGAGATTTCTTTGGCGAGTTGGGCCCTTGCTGAAAGATCACTCGTTGCGTCCGTCGCGCACATAGTCTGTGGGTTGCGGGGGAGCGGAGATCGTCAAGTCTTTAAAACGCATTAAGAAAAAAAATAATAAACTTGGGGCGTTGCATGCAGTTCCCACATCACAGGCTTGGAGGTGTTGTCGAGTCGTGCAGCAACAAGCAGCACTAGAGCTCCTGCAGTAGACGTCAGAGCCACTCCAACTGCTCTAGGGCTTCCCTGTGATCCTGCCAATAGAAGTCGAATGTTATTCTTTTTCCTACAGTCCATGTTTTACAGATCTTGCTGCCCTGCTGCAACAATTTAGAAGGGGCAGCTGGGCAGTTTGCCATTTTGTCTGGATTTCTGAATACAGAATAGTGTCCCAAAGAAATTTTGCAAAGCGTGTCCAACTGCAACGCCTGACTGCCATAGAACACTGGACAACTGCCCTCTCAAAGGTAATGAGAATTATGACAAAATTTAGAGGCACATTCATATGGGTCAAATATGTATTTTAAAAAAGAGCACAAACAATCTACTGTAGCTTGAACATAAGTGCGAAAAAGCTTAAGATTCTAGCAAAAGAAGGACGGCACAAACACAGTCTCTGGCATTCTTTGCAAGCATGTTAAGGAACCTTCCAATTTAAAAAATTTAAGGGATGCTGAACCGAAAGTCGGAGCTCACAAACACAAGGCCGGGGCGATAGGCAAGACGCTGCAAAACCCCAAAACATCACTCATGCTGCGACATCTCTAACAGTTGGCCGTATTTTTGGAAAAGACGTGCGCGATTGAACACGGCCGACAAGACACGTCGCATCACAATTCTCATTCCCTTTCCTCTTTGCTTCGTTCCCTCGAGCAGGTAAACCGAAGCGAGGCGAAGAGAAGCAAGGCCACTTCCCCTCATTCTCAACTGTTTCAGGAGGATCGTGACATCACAATCCTCGCTTGGTCGCACCCTTCTTTTCCGAAAATACAGCCATCCGAGATATCGATGTACAAGTGGTGTCTTGGAGTTTGTAAGTCCCGTTCAATGCTTCTGCAGCCTTATTTTGCAAAACCCAAATTTCGGTTCAGCATCCCTTTTTGAACAAGTATGTTATGTTACATATCTTCATCATCTGTACATGCTTAGACAAGTTTGAGTGCCTCGGACGACAGTCTTGTTCCCGTAGCCTTCTCTCCAGCGTGTGCAATAAGCCTTACCTGTTCTCTGAGGAACAGTATGGACTGCGAGATGAAGAGCCTCTTCGTGCTCGTGTCGTACCTCCAAAAATGTATGGCGTTGCCTGTGGAGACAAGCGCAGCAAAGTTAGTACATTACTTAAAGGGAAGCTACGGAGCTTCTTGGAAAACATGAGTTGGAAGTGAATTCTAGTGTATTTTTACCCCGTGAACCCGAATACCCAAACCATTTGCTGCGTAAGTATTGGTAAATGCGAGAAAAACGCGAAAGACAGTCGCTGTACGTGACGTCATCGACGGATCTTTTGGCTGCCCAAGGCTAGGGAGGTGGGGCTTCAGTCCTATTTTGAAATTGCTCGTATGGCTCTCCGGCGCGTCACATTGAAATATAATTGTCATAGCTGTCATTCTAAAGGCCAAATGAACGCAATTCAAGCGTTTTTTCTCAAATGTAGAAGTGCCCCATCTTCCCTTTAAAGGGGTACTCCGCCGATTTTTGAGCTACCTCAACTAACTATATTTTCTGACTCCCAGGCCTTTACCCTTTCTGGTATGCTATTTAGTATCGTGAAATTCATAATAGTTATTGCGAAATCGGCAAATGAAAATTATGCAAAAACAGACATTCAAATATACCCGCCCTTTTCAGGGCCGTGACGTCAGTGGAAGTTCAGCTTGCCAGTCGGGCGCGCAGTCTAAAAAATAGAATATGCCAATCATTTGTTCCGTGCTGGAGCGCGGGGACTGGAGCGAGCTTCCAAAGCATTCATTTGACACCATGAAACTGCTTCGAATCAGTTGGGAACAAATTCTACAGTCCAAAGTGTGAACCCCTGCACTTCCAATGACGTCACTTTTTCATTGTTGCCAGTAGAGACTTTCAGTTTGAAAAACACGGTGAGGATCAAAATTGTAAATTCAATAACTTCGTGAAAAAAAATTATTTTGACCTAATATTTGGGATACTATTTTGGCGATGTTGTTTGGCGAGTTTAGCAAAATTTCAAGCAAATCGGGGACCATGAAGAAATCGGCGGAGTTCACCTTTAACTAACCAAGGAAGCTCGCACATGGCTCAGTTCATGGTATTTAGAAGGAACACAGAAGCCATGGAATAGACTGCCAAGAGCACAATGTATTTCTGAACTGCGACGACATAGATTAATTTTAAAAACGGGAAGAAAAACTGGGATAAGAGAGGAGAAAGTAGCAAAGAAAATCTGATTGCAAGCATGAGACAGGCCCTCTTAAACATGGAGGTCAAAGATATTTCAGATTTCTAACAGTGTCATTGCAAAGGCTTCGACAATCTCCAAGTCCTGTCAGATGCGATTAGGTCGGTCCTGGAGAGTAGGGAACTGGTTGTTTGAATCCAGAGATGGATCCAGGCTTTTTGTTGTGCCCCATTTTAGTTCTGGAGAAGCAGGTCGCAGCACTCAAAGTAATACAACAAAAATGATGACTCCGCAAAATTATCTGTTCTGCAGCTGAGAATGGAGGCTATCAACAGTCAAACCAAGAACACTTAAGCAATACAGAAAGACCACTAGCATGAGATGTAAAAAGCATGCCATGCGATCGTGATTACACAAATACGCACAGGAACTATTCCCACCCTCGCCACCGATGCACAGCTGCACAAGTCCCAAGCAGTACTTCGTAATACTGCAGTGGCTACAACAGTGGCCCAGCAACCATTCCAATTTTGATTTTCCCTACTCGGTCCTCTCGTCATCAATGGTGATACAGCGCTGCCATGACCGCTCTGCCATTGAATTCGCTCTTTCGTCCAAGCGACTTACCGCTCTTTGCGCCGATGTAGTTGCCCTTGCCATCGGCCAGGAAGAACTGGTCGTTCTCGAAGCTCAGCTGGTCCACGTTGCGAGTGTTGATCATGACGTCCTGCGACAGCGGCAGGTACATGGTGCAGCCCCGTGGCTTCCACTCCTCCGTGTGGTAGACAGACGCGTTGTGCCGGATCGTCAGGAAACTCCGACCTGAGGTGAGAAGCCGCGGCGACAGCGGCCCGTTGGCTGTCGCCACCAGACGGTCGGGTGAACTGGGAACTAGACGTCGCGCTGTCTTCACCCCCTGACAACCCGATACTCATGTTAGTTTCTCGATAACAGTATGAAACTTTAAAATACCATTCTTAGTGAGCCAATCCAAATTCATGGCGACAGGTTGCCTTATAAGAACATTTCTTGCATACCGAAATTGTGCTATCCGCACACCGGCGAAACAATCGCAAGTCTTGTCGTAGCCACCACTGCCAGCACCAGCACTGCCACCAGTGCTTGAAGGCATTGAGAAATAATTTTCCTCTCTCAAAATATGCAAAAAGAACAATATCAGTGTAAGATATCTGTGAAGATAAGCATGAATAAGTCTATTGCATACAGAGTGCCAAGGACGCTTATACTAGTGAGGAATGCTATCAGCATGATGACACTCCACAGCGATCTTGGCACAACTGGTTCAGGATGACTCCTTCAAAGATTTGAGAGGACCGAAATGGCGATTGCCATGACAACAGAGACCGATCAGCCAATCGCCTGCGAGGTTTTGGTTGCCTGTATGTTAGTATCCATTTGTGTCCAGCTGGAAGGTAACAGAGCTATCCTTGCCTCCCGCTGCTCACCTTTCACTGTAAAGTGAAAGGTGAGCAGCTTATACACACCTTTCATTGTAAGGTGAAACGGAGCATAGGGTGACTGGGTGTTGCGTTTTGGCTGGGACAGTCCTCTTTCGGGGCCTTGTTTCTACTGTCCTGTCGTTTTATCCCAGCTGAACGTAATGTTGCATTCCTGTGGGACTGCGGTTGCAAAACAAAACTAGCATATGGAATAAACTAGAGCAGTGTTACGAACGTCAGTCGGTGGAAGCCAAATAGAAATGTTTTATCCCATAACAATTTAGCTCTACTTGTGCAGGGACATCTGCTTGCACTTTTTTGCTGCAAATATGCATATATATCATCTTTGTTTGCAATTATGCATATATGATACAATCCTCATCTCCCGCAAAATTCAGGATTGTAAAGGAAGGCATGTTCAACCAACAGCAGCAAAACAAAAAGTATCGAAAAAACTGCAGAGGGTTTCTGTTTGGCATGGATAGAAATCTGGCAGACTCCAAAAAGCAAGGCTTTTTTAGTGCAGATTGAATTGAGCATTCATTCAGTCCTAGACCTTGGTTTTACAAATCTAAAAACCAAAACACACACACAAAAAAAAATAGTTTTTTTCTTTTTTCTATGCAGTTTTGGTGATAGTGCATTGTAGGGTGTGGCGAAATAGAGACAAGTGACATGGGTGCTAGCTTTGATCAGTTATGTACAGCTCCTTCGATACTCAGTGAATTCTACTTGGGACTTTACGATAGCAATGCACCAGCGCTTTTAGACTGCTATGAATAAAACTAACCCATTCAAATGAGGGACGCATCTGTAATTCTGGGAGCAAATCTTTGCCTCAAGTACTCGCGACTCCAGCGAACTATGGGGGCACGATGGTAGGCAAAATGGCGTTCGAAAGGAGGTCTTTTTCGTCATTCAGCCAAGCAGGCCACCATAAATTTCTTGCACTGCAGCATAAAATCAGCATCTTAAATAAAAGCAAAAGCAATTTTTCGACGGTAAAAACCTTCTATACTTCGTTTCAGCTTCCGTCCGAGCGCAGCCAAAGGCTGAGGGACGGTTCGCAACTTCGAGAAGAGCATTCCTATGCACCACAAAGTAGTCCGCAAAGCTTTTTTTTTTTTCTAAATAACTGTTTTGTGCGTAAACATTGTACAATATTCCAGATATGTACTGCTGAGAATGATTTGCAAGTAAAGGAATGTATGATCTGGAGTTTATATTTTTATTAGTGTATGTAAAGTTTTTTGTAAGTAAAGTTTTATTAGTGTATGTAAAGGTTTGGTGAAAACACATACATCCGCTAACAACACAGCCGTGTTGCCAGCGCTCCGTTTTTCTGTGCGATTTCGTTCCCGTAATGGCCGAATCATGTGCTTTGCTGCTTTCCTCACCGAGGCACTTCAAAACGTTCTTTCACAAAAGCACATTCGGGCGTTAGGCGAGAGAGGTTGTGATAAATGTATACTTTCAAATTCGGCAGGAGACTCCAGCCGCGTCCTACCGCAAATTCGGTGTAAACAAGAAAAGCATCTGGGCCACTACAATTCACTGATACGCGGCAAAATTAGGGCACCCCTTTACCTGCCGATCACATTGAATGCCGAGAAGCTGGTGGAAATTACTGCGCCTCGAGCCGTGGTATATCGAAACGATACAAGAAAACATCAACAGCCGGGTCATTCCGCACATTGCGATGTGTACTTACATCTCGAAACTATGCAGAAATGCCGAACAGGTGGAAAGCTCGGACACAAACGCCAGTGGCCAGCCTACGTACTGATATCCCCGGTGACTAAATTTCAGAATGTGAAAGGGCAGTTTTTAAAACTGTAGCAGACGATACCGTTGATACACCCGTAGCAGACGAAATACTCTGCAAGCGCAGGCGGCTTGGACGACCAGTGGTGATACAAAAGTGCAGGCGAGATCGCGTGACCTGATGCCGGCGTGCGATTGGCTCCGGCCACACATAGCTTTTGCTGCGCTCTGACAGAAGCTGAAACAAAGTATAGTCAGTGCGCAGAATGACATGGCAGAAGCATGAATTAAATTACTGGAAACAATGTCTCTATGGTGCCTACGAGAACCAAGCAGCGATAGCAGACGACAGAGTCGAAACAACCTCCTCTCCTGAGCGTCTTAATGTTGCCACTACGCGGCGCCGATTTCGCTGGAGTCATTAACTGATGGCAAGGAGGTTTTATAGCCTCACTTTCTTTGCAGTGCAGAGTGAATATAGATTTCACATTTAAATATTCTAAGCTTAAATGCCAAATGGTAAAACAAAATGGCTAGGTGGCGTAAGCAACTGCCCGATCCAAAGGGCTCAGCCGGATTCATCCATACGTCAATCCATAACCAATAGGGACCGGGTGTGCCAAGGAGGTGCGGCCTCACCAGCCCGAGAGCTCCGCTGGGGGTCGGATGGGGACAGCAGGCCAGCCGTGTTCAGCTTGGGGCACGGCTGGAACATGGCCGTTGGAGGGGGAGGGAGCCCCTCCCAGGTATCTCCCAGACGGCGCCGCTTGAAGCCCCCGTCGCACAGCTTGCCGTTCACTCCACAACCGGCGCCCCCTTCCTGGTGGCAGTCCGAGGCCGGGCCATGCTTTCCTGCGCATATCACACGGCCGCAAGCATCACCATAACTGCTCAAACGCTTTCGTTCTGCTAACGTAAGAGCTACAATACATTCTCAACGCGCCCACCACACATACAGGTTCGAAGCTTGCATAGCTTCTCCAAACCATTTTACTGAAACTACCCAACTACTAATGAGCAGTATGTCACCCCCAAAAAATGGAGAATTTTAGAGCGCAGCTCTTAAGCGCCCGTTTCCAACTTGAGCGCTGGCTTCCGGCTCAGCAACACTTCCTTTGATTTCATTGCTCTCAAGACTGACTGACTTGAGCAGTGGCACCGTCGGCGCAACCGCGCGGTGCATTATGGGCAAATTTCCCCACTAAATATAGCGAAAAATTTTCCCCGCTAAATTTAGCAGGAACATTTTTTCTGCTAAATTTTGTGGGGAAATTTTTTCGCCAGACCTAGCGAAGAAATATTTCCGCCAAATTTTGCGGGGGAATTTTTCCACTTGATTTAGCGGGGAAATTTTTCCACTAAATTTAGCGGGGAAATTTTTCCACGAGATTTAGTGGGGAGATTTTTCCACTAGATTTAGTGGGGAAACTTTTCTGCTAAATTTAGCGGGAACATTTTTCTACTAGATTTAGCGGCAAAATTTTTCCACTAGATTTAGCGGGAAAATTTTTCCACTAGATTTAGTGGGGAAATTTTTCCACTAGGTTTAGCGGGGAAATTTTTCCGCTAAATTTAGCAGAGAAATTTTTTTGCTAGATCTAGCGCGAAAGTTTTTCCGCTAGCGGGGAAAATTTTTTGCGAAATTTAGGGGGGGAATTGCAACGCCGCCCTCCGCGACCCGAAGGCGATTCAGGTCGTCCGACTCGAAATGAACTATGCTCGAAAGGACTGCAAAGGACTGTTGTGGCCTCCTCTCCGTACTTTCCCCTCCTCCTCCTCAAGAGCTGGGCTCTAATTCGGCAATACAGGGAGTTGTAAACGGCTTTCTTTTTTTTTTTTTTTCTCTTTCTTTTCTCGCAAAAATTAATTTTGAATCGCTGAACACTCATTCTCCTTCGAAATGTAGCGCCAGTAACCCGAATCAGATGCTGAAGTTCCAGAACTAACCGTTATCTCATTAAAACTTAAGATTTTCTAAACTTTTCAATAGAAAAATGGCAGTCGGCTGACCGTCAAACACATGGAGCTGAATGGTGCCAGTTACCAAGAATGGGCCCCATTTTTGCCATTGAAATTTTCAGAAGACCACAACTTTTAAACAAGATAATGATTGGTTCTGAAATTTCGGCACGTAGTTCGAACCGCCAGCACTACATTTGGGTAAAGGATGAGCCTTCGGAAAAGCATGGTTTTATTTTTGAAGTGCAAAACACTCCTGTAAATATTTGGGGGCGACACGCTGTAGCGTAAATAATTTGTTATATGGATGTTTAAACAGCAAGAAGTCAGTCTGGCCTAAGTGGCACCCAATGTATCTGCTGTAGACGAGAAATTCAGCTAGTGCAGTGCGACTGGTGGCCTGGAGTCCTCAACATGCATCACACAGTAGCAACACACAGACACGTGCGAGTATGATGCTCATTCAGATCAGAAGTGATCAGCAGCGACATATACCTGCATACAACCGTAGGAAGTATTTGTGCGAGTCAAGAACTGTATAAGAACAATTCTTGACTTGCCTGTTGAGCTACTACGACAGTACAAAATTGTAATCGGGCTACTCAAGCACAAGTGTCAAAGGAAGCACCACGCTATAAAGTAACATCTTCCACAAATTTCCCGCCACAAAGTTCCTGCCAAACGCTCCGACAATCATTTGTTTCCAGGCGGACCACAATTCAGCTGGCAGTCCCAAGTTTTGTCCTTTTGGTAGGAATTTGATCCTGCCAGCTTTCCAGAGGTTTCTATCGAAACAAATATTCAAAGAGAGGTCATTAAATTAGTAAACATGAAAGAATAAAAGAAATCAATATTAGATTTAAGAATGTGGGAATAAAAAAGTGCCTCAAATCGGGCAGTGCAGCAGTGTCAATCCTAGCTTAAACCCTGCAGAGACTGCGTCTCTTGGTTTTTCCTTGCACCGTGACGGGTATAAATAAAGCAGCAATGTTCGATTCGATATACATTTCGCACAGCCCCATATCTCAGTAATAAATTATCCGTTTGGGGGCTCCAACTTAAAATGGGTCGCAGAAGCTCGCTCAAGTCGTCGACGAGTTTTAACTGTCGAGCTCTCCACCTACCATGCAACAATATAGTCACTTAAAGGGCGAGAACGGTGGGGCGTCTTTTTCGGATGCCCCGCGCATACGATTGCTGCCTTCCGTCGTGCTTCGGCCACAAGCGCACGCTAGAAGATCACGAGGCGCCAAAGAGTTATTGACGGAAGCCCACCCGCTTTGGAGGATAAAAGAACCCCTGCCGTTCTCGCTCTTTCAGTGACCACAGTGCCGGCCATATCTTCCAAACCCCCCAAAACGAGTCGGTGCATCGCACATAGGACGACCTTACCCGGGCCAGTCGACAAGCAATCTTCGCCGAATCGTACCCCAATCACGACGCCTTGCGTCCGCCCCCGACACGCCCGAAGGAAAAGGGGGGCACGCTCTCCCAAGGCGACGCACAGGTGCGACACAGCTGACAAATCACGCGAACACCAAGTCGACGGCGTCGCGCGCGCGCGTAGCCAAAGAGTGATTGCTTCCGAACACGTCCGCCAACCAGACAGGCGCCGACAAGAACAAAACGAAAGGCGCTCGCTTTCGCGCGAACAACGACGAAAAGGTCGGAGGTTGACGCGAGAAATGACAGCGCCGCAAAAGGTCAAGGTTGGCCAAAGGCCACCACAAACCACCACCATTCCGGTAACCACACGTGAGACACACGCAACTTCCGTCAACACGGAGCGCGATAACGAATTCGCAAATTCGCGCGAAAAATAGAAAACCCTGAACATTCGCTACGCTAGACTTTCCTTCCATTCGCGCCAGGAGGTTACGGGCGATACGAGATGGGCATTTTTAAAAAGAAATAAACGCGCGCGCGAAGCCCTACAACAAAGCCAAGGCAGCTCGGAGCGCGGGGTTAGAGCACACCGGTGTTTACCTCGGAACGGGGGCTCGTCGTTGAAGAACTCGAACTTCACGAGGGGACAGGAAGAAGCATCGGGGGGTAGGCAGCCCGCCGTGGCGCACACTTGGCCGAGCGTGTTCAACATGATCCCCGAAAGAAAAAAAAAAACGCGAGCCCCGGGCTGCAATCACGCCCGAGTCTCAACGACCTTCGTAGCAGCGCCGCCGCGCACACAAGCACACGCGCTCGCGATGGATGGATGGATGGATGGATGAATACGGCTGAGCCCTTTGGATCGGGCGGTAGCTTACGCCACCTAGCCATTTTGTTTTACCATTTAAGCTTAGAATGTGTATGCGATCGCAGCGCCGTTCGGGGGGTTCGGCGCGCGCTTTTTGGGTTTCGGATGAAATGGCGGCAGCTGTGTAGCAAAGCATTCGCAGCCGTCCCTTTGTTCAACTTGTTGCGCTTGCAACTTGCAACAAAAAACAAAACAAAAATATATGAGAAAAGGCGGAAGGTGGGCATGTGTAGCGAGGAGCCCAAAATAAATTTTGCAGCTCAACGCGCGCTTCTTGATAACCTCGTCGAAGAAAGAATTAGAATCGCGGCTTTGTTTACTGTGGACTCGAACATTATCAGCACCCGTGTTGGAGACAATATGGATTCAAGACAATGTATGCTGATTTTGAGACGACGGTACTGCTACATACGATAACACCTCGTTATAAAAGTAAAGGTCGTGTTTAGCGTATCAGCGCACCTTGTAAAGTTGTAGGTTGCCATGGATGATGGCGGTAACGTTTATGCTACTCGAGCCAGCCGCGTGAGTGTATGTTACCTTCGCTTGGCGCCCAGCGCGTGAAACGTTCACAGCAATGGATTGATTGGGATGGCTGGTAAACCACGAGTCTTTGAAAAAAGAGGAAAAAGCACACGCGAGCGCACACACGCGCACACACACACACGCACACGCACGCACGCACACACACACGCACGCACGCACGCACACACGGACACGTTCCGAGGCATCAACCCCAGTGCTCTCCAAATTTAGCCAATTGATCTGAAAAAAAAAAAAAAAAAAAAAAAAAAAAAAACACAGAAAGAATAAACACAGAGGACAAAAACGCAGACGAGTACGCGACACAAAAGAGCGGTTCAAAAGGGCGCCGGCAGAACGCACGTTTTCAAGCTCCCGTATCGCGCACGCTGCTTTATTCAAGCAAAATACGAACTTTTTTTTTTTTTCGTGGATTTGAGAGGTATAATAACATTCAGTTTGGTACCTCAACAGCCTCAACTGCGTTTGCATGATTAAGCCTCTCGTTGCATGTTGACAGCAAGCACCATCTTGGCTATTCCCAACACGCGTTGACGAACTTTCTTTCACTTGTGGGACCGGACATTTCATCACGTCGTTTCATAGAACGCCTTCAGAGGCACTATTGAAGAGTAATAGCCGTACTTCAGAAAACTAACAGGGAGTTTAACAATATGGTTTACTGGAAATTATATAGCTGGCAGAACCGGCACTGACTATTGCTTTGAATCACTTTCATTCCTCTACTGCGTTCGATGAAACGGCGTTCGATGAAACGGCGTTCGATGAAACGGCGTTCGATGAAATGGTCCTTCGCCCCCCCCCCCCCCCCCCCCCAATGCACGTATAAAATAGCAAAAATACCCAATTGGCTTACCAAAAACTTGTATTACTCCCTGTTTCACTCGCGGCTGTTATGAAATTATGGTATGGGGAACGCCACGTCTACAAACTATGGTAAGCTGACTATACTTCAAAAAAAGATTCTGTGAATTTCGGAGAACTACCATGGCAATATTCGCAAATTTCATAGCAGTCTTTATTTTACTAAGCATAACATGCTCAAAGCAAATCAAATCTATTATTTCAAACTTACAAACACACACAAAAAAAAAAAAAAAAACTTTGCCGAGTGAATGAACTTGCTTCACAGCTACACTTCACAGCTTCACAGCTCTACTGAGAAATAGTAAACGTAGAACTCATGAAGTGCGTACAAACTATGGAAAACATAAAACTGAATATCAGATTCCTGCATTTCTAAACAGTATGGAAGATTACACTGATTTTACAGTCATTTTATAAATACAGGAAAGAGATTAAACAAATGCTTAGACAAAGACACCAGTTACGCGTCGTAGAAGTGTGGTTATGGTTACCCTGGGGGTCCTCCACACGACTTGTGAATGCCAAAACTACTTAGTCTTTTTTTTTTTTTTTCTTTCTTTCATTGTGCTGGATGAAATGTAATTTTCGTTTACTGTGTTGCATAAAATGTTTTTTGGTTACACAGGCATGTATATTAAAGCAGAAACTGTTCCGAAGCTGTATAACGTGCCACCTTTCGCACTTCTGTAAACTGCAGGGGGTAGAGGCCCAGTTAGACAGGAGTGATTTTGCCAATGCCACCCTATCGGGCTTGGCCTCTGAAAACCCGAATAAACTTCAAACTTCAAAAAGTTGCTTCAGTTAGCCTCAGCCATAGTGTGTAACTCTTGATGTTTCGCTCAATGACTTGGTCGGTAAGACTTGACGAAACGTCAAGGCTACCACACGGATGCTTCCAGAAGGTTCTTCGCGCCAAAATGGCAACGAATAGGAACAAACAAACAAAAACGAATACGTCACTTTTACCCCGAGTCGTCATGTCGTCTGTGCCGAAATACACGGTCCCACTGTCCGGTGTGCTCGAGACCAGACCGAAGTCGTCCATGCTAAGCAGAACCATGTCCGAGAGACAGCTCACGGCGGGCCGACGGTTGCGCCAGGACCGCCGTGCACGCCCGTTGCCCCTCAAGAAGTAGCGTTCCAGGGGCAGTCTGGCCGCCAGAAGTGGCAGTACGAGTATCGCCAACTCGTCTTTCTCGGCCTGAGCAGCCACGACCTTCACTTGCTGCAGCATGGTACTGTGTGCGCTGGTGGGTGTCTCAAGCCGGGCGATAGTCGCCTGGTAACACGAGACTCGCCTGGCGAATACGGCGACCAAGTGTTCCGAAAACGCACACCAGTCAAAAGGCAACATGGAGAACGCAGGATGACGAAGCAGCCAGGCGCTTCATTGGTTGAGACCGGGGGAGGAAGCAGAACCACGTAGGCGCATTGGCTGGTAAACAAACGCACGAGGTACGCAAGAGGCAGACGAACTTGCTCGTCGTATGGACTAACTAGAGCCACTAAATAAGCTGCGCTTAGAGTATCGGCACTCCGTTCCCCTACATTGTTGTGGGCGCCGCCATTTTGGCTCGTATGCAGAGCAGACGCAACTGCCGATCGTCATGATTCGAAAGTGCGACTTCCTCAGCATTAGATTCGGTGTTAGGAAGCTCATATAATATTGCTTTGCTCTGCCGCGAACTGTCTAAACATTTGTGGAGGACAGAAAAGCGTTTCCTGTGATTTCAGATAATGCTTCAGATAACTGGCAACCATGATTTTAAGACACAATATGGCCAAGTGTCGTTACTCTGAAGCGTAGCTTATTTAGTGGCACTAGGACTAATCATTCTTGTAAACGCCTTCTGCAAGTTGCCATCTTTGTCTGCTCGGTTGTGGAACATCGTGTTAAGGAGACCTGCTTTTAACGCTGTCGCGTTAAAAGCTAAGCATTACAACCAGGAACAAGTAAAAGAAGGAGAAGGCAAAACAAGAGTGATAGACAATAGCGATTAAGACGTGAGCTTTTTCCAGTGATGTGGCGAGAGCAAAACGACATTTTCCCGCGTACCGGAGGCTCCGTGATTTGAAATTACATCACTACAAAAAAAATTTTTTTTTCTCAAATTCAAAATTTAAAAAAAAGAAGCTTGCGTTAGGGTTTATCTTTTAGCCGTTGGGGTTAAGTTGGGGTTCACTAGAAAAGAAACAAAATTAGTTTATTAGTTTTCTCATCAACTGAAAAGTTTTCATTACTTTTTTAAATTTTCATTTTTGGGGGAACATAATGCACAAGCTGTAAAATTGACACTCGTCGCAATTAGAGTCTAGCTGTTGTGATTTCGATTAGAAAATTCCTAGTGGGCGTAGGAAAAAGTCCAGGCGAGCGCTGTGCTTACAAGGCCTACAACGCTATCTATATCACTTTAAAAGAAGGCCCAACCATTATCGAGGCTTCAGCGGCTGTTCAAGTTGTGTCGTCACTACCCACTTGGCAAGCAGTTGCTGAGTTAATGCTGCTTTTTGTTGAACATAGAGGCGTCCCGTGACAAAGCGGGACGCCTTCTTCTAATCAGGTTTGAACAAATAGTTCAAAGAGTGAATTGCTGCCTTCGCCTGACGTCATTTTTTTCATTGTTGCCAGTAGAGGCTTTCACCTTGAAGATAACGGTGAGGAAAAAAAATTGCAAATTCAATAACTTCGCCAAAAACTTTATTTTGGCCCAATGTTTGGGTTACTATTTCAGCAATGTTTGTTCGTGTGTTTAGAAAAATTTCAGGCAAATCAGGAACTTCATAGTCACTGATTTGCCTGCCGGCATACCCCTTTAAGTCGGGGTCACAGTGCTTATACATGGTACAAAAGACAGTCTGCATAGAGATTCGAACGCGAGTTACCGCGAGATCCATGCTTTGAATGCCGCCCATGGCCATGAATTCTAGGAGAAAACTCAGGTCACGAGGCATTCGAACCACGGACATTGCGGTGACTGTGTTTGCAGACTGTATTTTGTCTGCTTCTTTTGCAGGGATTGTGGTGACGTCAGAGAAACGCCGAGCTCTGATTGGCTCTGATTGAAGGGTAGGGGGTAGACCTCAAGGCAGCTTGCTTTGAGGTCTACCCTTAACAATGCCACTCCCGAACTTATCATTCTGATAATTCTTCCGTTAATGAATTCGGTCATCATTAGTCCTGTTGGAGTTTTAAAAATCTTTAATGGTCTGAAGCTGTCTTCGGCAGCCGGAATATATGAAATTAACTCGAAATTCCTCAAAGCTAC